TTCGTTATGATAGTTATTCTTCATTGATTTAATGGTTTTACAGGTAACAAAATAGTGAATTATTGCATTTAATAACTGAATTTTTTTTTAACATTTACTAAAAATTTTCCTGTAATTATTTCCAATTATTTTTGTTTTAATCGATGTGGTATGCTTTTAATAATCTGATACAAAAGGACATTACTTATTTTAAAGTTTTTTTATTCATATTGTCTTTTATAATGTGACAAATAAAAAAAAAATTTTCATAGGTACTGTAAGAATAAAACATTAATATATCATTTATGCTTCGTGGTGTTATAAACCATATTCATACACTGTAAATAATACAACATTGATTGTAGGATAAATACTTATCACGGTGCTTTATGTGTTGATAAGCATAAATCAATTTTATATAAATAACGAATGTTGTATTACAATAAGGTGATGTAAATATTATTTTTTAGTTTTCTTGATATAAACAACAGTTCGAGAGAGTGATCCTTTAAACATGATTATCCAGTTGTAACATATAAATTTCTTTGTACACGATAACTGTTATATTTATTGAATCATAAGTAGGGTCATTATTTCAGTTTTTTTTTAATAATTATTAAAAAAACAAAATTATATTATAAAAGTATCTTAAAAATTAACAAATTTTCCTTATTTCATTATTACATTTCTACAATATATTTTAAGTTACAAAAGTAGTTCTAAGGACATTTATGTAACACTAACGAGTAAAAAATGGGTTACTTTAAAATTTATTTATTTAGCTTTAAATAACTAGATTAAACGAAATTAGAGATATAGTCTATTATAAGTAAAAGATAGATAATTATCTAAATTTAGGTTTTCGAGTTTAGAAATAATCAAATTGAGTACAATTTACAGATTACAGAATTTTTTGTCTGGCAATTTTCGATTGTATCTACACTGGAGAATTTATTGGTAGAAGCCATAGAAATATAAAACTATTAAGAAGCCATAGAAATGTGAAATACTGAGAAACCATAGAAAAACAGAAAATATTAAGAAGCCATAGAAATGTAAAATACTGAGAAACCATAGAAAAACAGAAAATATTAAGAAGCCATAGAAATGTAAAATACTGAGAAACCATAGAAAAACAGAAAACATTAAGAAGCCATAGAAATGTATAATATTGAGAAGCCATAGAAAAACAAAAAATATTAAGAATCCATAGAAATGTAAAATACTCAGAAGCCATAAAAATACAGAAAACATTAAGAAGCCTTATAATTTAGAAAATATTAAGAAGCCATAGAAATGTAAAATACTGAGAAGCCATAAAAATACAAATGTCATTATGAAGATATAGAGATAATCTCTAGAGATAAAATGCTCAACTGTTTCTTATATTGTGAATGGTTTATAGCTGATTTTAGGAACTTCTAACAGAACCTGTTTTTTAAAAGGTCGAGTAATTTGAAGTTCCGTTTGATATGCTATTTAAATTGGATGGAAATGTTTTAATGAAATATAGTTTTATAATAATTTCGTGTTGTTATTGTAGGACGTGTTGTTAATAAGTAAATAAGACTGCATAATTAAATTTTTGTATTTCTAAGGCCTATATTTTCAGTGTTACACATTTAGATATCTGGATGGACACATTAAGTTTTCCTATATGAATAATCTAGTGAACCGAACAAAATCTCAACGTTCCACTATTACTAGTCATCTTCATAATGGACCAAGAATTAACCTGTCAATTAGTTGTGATCACCATAAAATTAATAATTCAACTTAGTTGAATTTGAATAAAAAAATATAGTTATACTTATATTTTACATTTAGTTGTTGTATATCTAATATCATTTTCTAAGAAAGGTTTAAATATTGATAAAAAATATTTGGCCTTAATTTTTTGTTATTCTAACTCAAAGTACTGGTTTTATTGAACCAAAGCGTCTTTTCAACCTTTTTTTTTTTTTTTGTATTTATATATACCAAAAAATATCTATAAAAAAATATTGAGTTATGGAGATTTCTTATCCCTTATTGAGATGGTAAGGCAAGATAGGTTGTACCTTAGGAGCCAAATTAATAAAAGTGAATTTTAGATACGAAAACGCATAATCGGCCACGTGTATATGATGCTTATAAAACTGTGTATTTCAAACACACATACATTTCCTTTGTTCTTTTGGTAATACTGTTATCACTAATTTTGAATGAATTTGTTTTTTGGTAGAAATATATATATATATATATATATATTGTAAATTCATCTGCATGTATGATCTTCTTTTTAAATTAAACATATTATTAAATTTTAATAAATCTCAATACTATTACTTAATGATAATACAACTCCTTTAATAGTTACCGAATTTATCTGAAAACTAACTATTAGGATTGATCAAACGTAGAATTAATAAAAAATTTATATAAAAATATAATGTACTCAATGACTAACAAATATTGGTATGAGTCATTTACATCAATATGATTTTCTTGCATTGATTCGTCGGGTACATTAATATACAATAAACATATCAATCGTTTATTAAAATGTTTAAAATTGTAATTAATAATATTCCATAACGCTTCTTCCGGCAAAATAAATTTCGTCTAACATAAAGACTACACGATCACGAAACAAGTGATTTTGCTCACTTTATAGTATTCGCACGACTCGGCTATCACGTTAAGTTTCGCATATCATGGCGAGACAAGCCCTTGGATCTTGAACTCGACCCGCATTATGGATGAACCAAAATGTCTTTATGTATAATTACACAAACATCAATCTACATATATTATTTATAGTAATTACATTATCATAAACATTGCCCGTAAATACTTCATCGGTAATAATAACAGTACCTGTGGTATGTGCTGTTTTAAAAAGTATTATAGTTTGTAGGAGGGAAACAATAATTGGTATTCACATAAAAACAATAGTCAGCCAAATGCTTTAGATGAAAGGAAAACAATTCTAACAGAACTTGACAGATGTATCAGTTGTTAAATCGAAATTGAGTGAATTTAAAAAAATCTTGTTTTTGGGACTAGATTTAGGTCAACCCAGAAAATTTATCTAATCTATCTAAATTTTTATGATGATCAATTGATCTTAGCTATACATATTAGTAGAGTACATATAACTAACTTGACCAGACGTCCCGATTTTCAAGTATGTTTTCCGCTAAGTATAGTGATCAAATCGGGACAGTAAAATGTACCGACTTTTAATAGACGTCCCGCTTTTGTTCCGATTCTAAATAATAGTTATTTTTTCTTATTTTCAGAATTTTAGTTTTTTAAAAAAATCTTCTTTATTACTCAAATCCATTGCATCATATGATAAATACTAAGTATTAATAATTTTTTTATCTGTATTAAAAATTATATGAATTTTTATTAAGAAGATTTAAATGTTGTTTTTATCTTATTTTGATTATAATTGTAACTTTCAATAAATGAAATACTAGTTTTTTAAAGTCACATTTTGTTTTTATAATTTTTTTGTTACATATATAATATACTTAATTTTATTGAGGTATTAATAAAATAAATATTTTATGTTCAATGAAAAATTGATTTAAGTTTTGTTTTTTAACCTACTTTGATTATGATTTTTTTTTGTCATGTCTAATTTTAGCATGAAGAAATAAAGGTGTACCCAAAACCAATTATTAAGGGAGAATAACCCTTAGAATTTTGATCTGGTCATTTTACATATCCGTATTGAATTGCATAATTATGATTAAATCTAAAAAGTCAAAAAGTACATATTTTCATATTTATTGACTATTTACAATTTTTTAAGATTTTTGATAACTTGGATTTTTTGAAGAATTTATACAAAACACAACAATATTAAATGTATGTTAACCTTACTAAAATTTATTTATCATAATATAAATAAATTCTATTCATTATAATAATGACAAAAATATTGTTATTAGTTCTTAATAATATACCAATGAAATAATTTATTTTTTTAGTTTTATTATCAATAATAATTACTTTTGACGATCACATATCGACGCCCATTTTTTTAATGTAGTTTTAATTTAGTTGAATAATATCAACAAATCATTAGAATTTCGTATGTTGAATATTAATAAAATCATTTTAAAACAATAAAGCCTAAAAGCTATTTCGACGCAAAATTAAGTTATGTACTATTAAAAACTAAATTACTAATTCGTAATGAATTATTTATTAATAAAAAAATAAAATTAACTATTTGGAGTTATTTTTTGTTCTTCTCAAGTGTAATAAATAAATAAATAATTTTAATTTTCTTAATTACTCATAAATGTTTTGATGCTTTGCTTTCTCTAAACTGATTATAAAATTTAATTTATTTTAATTTTAGTTGTATTATAATTAACTGAACTTTGAGATACTTTAATTTTTTTGTTTAATGTAACTATAGAGTTAACTTTTGATACCCAGACAATCTTAGTAAACTTCAGTTTGGTACTCATACTGAGGAATCTTAATAACGTGACTAGATATAAAACAAGCACTCTGACTGGACTACTGAAAGGACACAGTCATTTGCTCAAACATTTTTACATAATGGAGGTGACAGAATTACCACTGTGCAGGACGTGTGGAATAGAAGAGGAAGCTTAATTTTACGTATGTGTCAGTGTGATACCCTGGCCACATTAAAATATAAACGTTTGGAAAAATCTTTTTCCGAAAAAAAAAAAATATCAAAAAACCTACAACCCAAAGAGGTACTTAAATTTGCCAGAGAGACGGGAATCATAACATATATAGGTGTGGCCAAATAGGACGTCCAATATATAGTCTTAGGTATTCATTAAGGGCAACAACACTTTGGTGGAAACACATATGTGAAAAAACAGAATTAATAAAATTCGGTAGGTGGTGCGCATAATGGACCTATGGGTCTAAGCAATTGTTGCCCCCTCCCTAACAACCAAAACTAAAAACTAAAAATTTGTTAAAATTTTAGGATTTTGAAAAATTTGAGGTTTTAGGGAAAATTTAAATAAATAGACGGATAATTTTATTTTTCTTTATTAGAATATTGTTTATTTTAGTATTATACTGAACCTTAAATTTGAAATACATATATGTACTGTTATAATTAATATCAAAATTGACAAAAAATTATCCATTTTTAAAAAAAAATAATCACCCAAATTATACATTTCACTTAATAACAAGTAGCACAGTGAGAGGCCTCCGAGAATACTCAGTAACTTCCTACAAGTATGATGTCACTAAGGATCAATTTTGAACCAAGTCGAAGGTTACTACTACAACTATATAAATGCATCATTAGTAATTCAATTTATAGACAAGGCTCACAAAGGCACGAGTATAAGTAACGTGTTTTATTTTAATTTCACAGTTTGTTTTCCATTCATTGCAAATGACGGTATCATACTTAACATTCTACTATAAATTAAGATTTCTTGTTATCTTCTACAATTTCCTTGTCAAATTATTGCGATGACTAGACTTTCTTCGAAATTGATCTTAATAAATTGTTGTTTGGTGATTAATCTTAGATTTTAGTTTGACTATATAATAACTAAGCAAGTTGGACATACAATTGTTTTTTATAAGGATATATTAACATTATTTAATTTTAAAAACATTTTATTTAACTGTGTTCTACATTAAATTTATATTTTAATAAATAAAATAAGAAAATATCAATAAGTTTTTTTTTTTGTGTAATGTGTTTTATTATGAAATCACCAATTTATTTGTTTCTTGTTGTATATTTAGAAATTTTATTTTAACGGCCAATAAGTATGTTGATTGAAGGGTAGCGTGCACGTACTTTTTGGCATCGAAAACTATCAATCCAAAGTGTTTTTCGTTTAACCCGAACTTCATCTTCAAGTTTTAATCGTGCTTCTAGTAAACCCGTGTGCCCTGTTCTAGCGCATTGCAACTGATAATTTAGAGTCGCGAGCTGCTCTTGTAGACTGTTGATTTCCGATAAAAGCCTAAAATGAGAAGTATTGAAATTATGAGTATTTTTTTTTTCCAAGTTGATTCTATAATTACCTAGATTGTGCAGCATCATTGCAATTCTCATCTCCCGGACGTTTAAGACGGTTATATAACCGTGTTTCTGCAGTCATCTTAGCATTCTCCAAATTGGCTATCACTCGTCGAAGATCTCCTAGTAATTTTTCTGAATCTCCTAATCGCTGAACAACCTTGTACACAGTAAAAAATATTTTTATATATTACGATGATGTTATAAGTTCTTTTGTACTTGAATATAATATAATCCAATGTGAAGTATGATCAGATTTAAGAATTGGTCTACCCAGTTCGGTAAATTAATTTTTAAATCTTGAACTGTAGGGCTACCTTACAAATTAATTTTTTACCAAAAAGTTTTCAGATGGGGTTCTATTTGGATTAGACTGAAATGTATAAATAAAATTTTGTTCTAATATTATTTTATGAATTATTATGTAGTTATTTTATATTATATGTAATATAAATAATAAATTCCGCTAATCAAATATCTAAGCTATTCATTTTGAATTATAATTTTAAATCTCTGTTAATAAAAATATTTATAATTTTGAATGTCATTTGTATAACTTACTTAAATACTCGTGTAGCTATATAGTGTGGACTACATATGGGTTTTTAATAGAAAATAATTAAAAATATTAGTTGTTTTATGAAACCTTACTTGTTTTAAATCGTTTTCCATAGCTTGACTAACTTTTTGTGTGTTTGCAATAAATCTTGCTAAAGCAATATCTACTGCGTCCGCTTGGTCCCTTAATCGTTTTGCACTTTTTTTAAGAACATGATCATCAACCAACGTCCTTAGTTTTTCTGAATCGTTTAATACTTGTTGTGCCTTTTCATATAAAGTCTGAGTTGCTGTTTCCCATTCTGGTATTGTCAGACATGTACTATATTCCATAACATCGAATAATATAGTATAATATTTACTTTATAAGTAGGACAGAATTCTTAATTAAGGATCGTGAACTAATAATTTACTGTAGACACAATATTATTGTGGCTACAATATTTTTTCATAGTTATTTAGATTATATTATGATTTATATAATAATGAAAAAATTATAAGTGATTAAAAGTTTTAGAGGAATACAAGGAAATGACACAGGACACAGGCAAAATTTATACTGTAAATTATTATTTATTCTTACAGTCACTAAATTTAGATTTATTTAATGACTAATTTCCTAGTAGTTATCAGTGAAACTTACAGATTATTAGTTGAATTATTAAAAAAAAAAGATATTTTATTGAAAAAAGAATATATGCATTACAGTACATTAATGTATATATTAATGTTGTGCATTGATTTTTTAAAATTTAGAATAGTCATTAGCTGTTTGAAATTGATCTATTAATTAAACCGAGTATCGTTGAGACTTTTAAAGTACTTTATTTTTCTTTTGATTATTTTGATTAGCCCCTAACTTTGAATTCTTTAAATTACTCGGGATGAAGGACAATTTCAAATTATTCCTATAAATTTGTACTTTTATTATAATTTTTATGTAGTTTAGATATTTTTCAACATTATCAATAAACAAATGTTAAAACCACAACTTTTCGTTTAAAAATTTTTGATTTAGAAGTTTTTGAAAAACTTGAAATTGGAATTCATTCACTCTAGTTTTTAATTTTTTGGCTGTTAAAAATTAAATAATGATAATAATGTTATCAGATTTTTTAAACATAATAAATTGGATGTGATGATATTTGTTTCTTATAAATTAAATCTGAAAACCACTAGTTTACGTGATGTTGAAGTGCACACCATTTACTCGTGTTACTCTACATCTAATTATTTTGTTATTACAATAAAATAATTGAGAAATACTGCATAATAGAATGAGTCAGTAAAACAAGAGATCTAGATCCTGAGATAACTAGTAAGTCTACAGTTTTCACCAAATAGAAATTTAAAAAATGACATAAAAAAATTGTTTTATTATTAATATTTAAAAAAAATTGTATGATTTTAAAAAATAATTACATAAAAAAAGATAAGATGAAATATAAAAAAAATTGATTAGATCTTCTAATTAGTTTACTACTTAAAATTTTATTGGGGTCTAATTATGTGATACATTTGGACTTAAATATTTTACTTTTGACTGTTTGTTAATATATGAACTAACCTTTCAGAATCTTTCATTACATTTTTGTGTGTCATTATATCGGCAGAATGAATATTCAAACCTAAGTTTTTAGCATCTATTTCAAAGGAATGGTTTTTATTACTCCAATTTTCTTCAAGCTGTTGTTTAATATCTCCATTTAATTTAAGTTGTTCATTGATTTGAGATACTGTACAGTTTATTAATTCACCAACTTCGTTAACTAATTTACTCTCCTGAATCGTTGTTTTAAAATTTTTTAAATATTTTTATTGATTAATTAATTAATTGTGAAATACGTTACATTGATAAGCTCAACCTGAGCGGGGTCTAACGTTAGATCCATGTCTAATCTATAAGAACGACGTTCTAAACATTCAGTTGTTATAGAGCATATAACATTTAAAGCAATCCTTGATCGTTGTAATTTTTTTAAATAAAAATAAAGAAGATCAATTTCATTTCGTATATTTTCTAATGCTTGATACATGTTAGCTCTCCATCGATCTATATTTCTTGCTGAACTCGCGATTTTATTTGAACTATCTAATATGCTTATATCTACAGATCTTGATATTGTATTGATGGCTCTCTGTACGTTATATTCAACACTATTTATAACTAATAATAAATTAATGTTTAATTCATTTTATGTAATTTAGCACACCTAGATTAAAACTATTACAACTCAAAAAAATGAGAAAAAAAACTTATTTACAGAAACTTGGTTATATGTTTTTTTAACATTTCAATAAATAACTTTTCTGAGCTGCAAAATTTTGATTTAGACGAGCAAATTAATTATGTGTAAGATATAAACTATAAAAAATCTTACACATTAGATTGGTGATGTCCTTGTGCTGATCGACTTAAGATATCATCGTTATGCATGTGCCATTGAGCAAATGAATACAAATTTTCAGCTTCTTTTTTTGGTACTTGACATATGTCGTAAGTGACACAAGAACGTCTAACACTATCATCGGTGGTTCTTTCAGATGGATTATTTGGTATCATGTCACACATGGCGAATTAATTTTTTTACAAATTTTTAATATTTTTTATAATTATTATAATTTATAAATAAAACAGTTTCGTGTAGGATGCTTTTAAAATTTTAATAAAGTGAACGGTAGGTTCTTACAATTAAAAAGCTCAATAATGATATAAAAAAAACTCTTAGCTGCACGTCCGTTAACTATAAAATATACCGTTTATAGTTACAAATCGATATACCGAACCCAAATAAACGCTGTTTTTATCCATAGCAACATAACTCATGTAACTTAATACACAATTAATTCTTTTGCTAAAAAAATAATATACAATAGTTTATTTCTACATTTACAATTACATTTATTTGCCCCCCCTCCCCCCAAAAAAAAAAAAACACGGACAGTAGTTTTCTTTTTCAAAATAATTACAAGATTAAAATAAAACAATTATAAAAAGCAGTGATTACAAAAACCCTATGAACCTTTCAAATAATTTTAATATAACCAGCAATTTAATTATAAAAATATAAATTTTAAATTTCATAACTAACAATTTATCTAACTAATAATCTAACAGCGGTTCTATTTATACATTGAAACTTCATATTCATGAATTAAATTAACATTAAATACAACAAAACTCAAATTTAATCTTTTAAAATCACCAATTAACTCAATTTAAAAATATTGAAAACATGCTTATTAGTATTATTTGGAATTAAAAAAAATAATTAACAATTGCTTATTTCTGTAAAGTTTTATTTGAGATATTTTTTTAGTTTTACACGTTTTTGTAAAAAATATAAAATTAAATAGGTCTATATAAAGATTGTTTAAATTATATATTTATCAAAGTAAAAATTATTATAATTCTCAGCAATAGATTTTTCAATGCTATTAGACCACATTATGGCAGCATTTGAATTTATTTTTCGGTATAATTCTTCATTTTCAACATTATTTTCACTAATATTTTGTACATTTGGTATGCTAGAACAAAACTATAAAGAAATTTTTGTGACATTCATTTTAATACTACATTTTTTTAAATTTTTATTTATATATATAAAAATATATATTTCTTAAATATATTTATAAATTGTTATATAATATACAAATGTATATTTGTAATCCATAAATTAAAAAAAGATATTACATAAAAAAACCATTGCTGATGTTTAATTGATATATACATTAAATGGAGCTATACAAAATGCAATAAACCTTAACAAAATTAAATCATAAAAATTGTAGTATCAAATACAAAAAATATTTTTATGATAGTTATATGTATTTTGCACAATTTTATTCAATTGGGACTAAATACCATTCTAGCTGTTTAATTGAGGATTAATTATAACAATATTATTATAATCATATATCCATTTAAAATTTTTATAACTTACTTCTTTGATATGCGGCGAATTTTTAAAATCATATACCCTATTGTATGTAAATATATGAACTCTACTGAGTAACTTATACGGATTTTTTGTAGACTTCATCAAAGAATCCAATCTATTCCAAATTATATCAAGAGATTTTAAAACGTTAAATGCAGGAGTTGTATTATTTCGTCTTATTGAATTCTTTAATTCGTTTTTATTAAAATCTTCCTTTGAGATATACTGAAAATAAAAATAAGAAACTGATTAAGTTAAGAACTGAAAATTTTCAATATTTACTATTTATAATTTTAAGTCTAATGTGATAAAAAGATTCAATTATAAACCTACAAACTTTAATGTTTCAAAATATTACATATTATGAATATAATGTATTGGATTGAACAATAACAAATAATAATTATCAATTGTATTACTAAAAATATAATACAACTGTTCTACTAATTAAAACTGCTTTAAAAGATTATCCCCATAACACTAAAATGTATAATTAATATTTTAAATTTACACATTTTTAAGAAAATTATTTTTTTTTTTATTACGTTTTGTAATGGAAATCTGTAGTTTTGCTCCAACATAATTTTTGAATTTTGATTAGATTTTAAAATTTGTAACCACTCAAAAACGTAATCAGGATCTCCATCCAATAATGTGACAGCAACCATTATTCCTTGGCTTTCTAATATTTGTGCTATCTTGAGCGCAATCACGCCACCCCACGATTCGCCAATTAATGAAACCATTTTATGACTAGAAATTTCTCTTAATTTCTTAAAAAATATAAAAATACATGAAAAAAGTTTGTTTGAAAGTTTATTAAGCTGTAGACCTAATAAAAAAGTAATTACTTTAACAAGCAAATTAACTAGATCACTGGTGGAACTTATAATTTCTGGGATGCGTGCCTCGAATGTTGGATATTGCAGTCTTTTATAAAGAGCTTCTAGTCTTTTTGAATTAAAACCTGGGATAACAAATATTGGTGGAATTTCTTTTACATGTGAATATCTTGGACTTTTGGTTTGCACTTCCTTGAAATTAGGTAGATCTTCTATTTTTTCAAGTAGCTGAACTAGTTCTTCAGTAGTTTCAGGTAAATTCCTTAAAACATAAGCTAGATTGTCTATTGTAGAACCCAATATATTAAAAATGTGATTTATTCGTTTCAAAATAAAATTATAGTTTAATCAAAATTATATATTACTTTTTTTTTCATTTCTATCTATTGAACATATAAAAATAGATGAAATAATTTTTTCTGAATTAATAAGAAGAGAATCTAAAGTTTTTAAAATCATTTTTGTGTTGATATGTTGATTGGAGACTTTATCAGAAGAAATATTTATAACATTGATCCCTATAGATTTAAGATTTTCACAAATACTTTTGCTATTACATGAAATACAAACAAATAGTGTTGATTTTAGTTTATTTAATTTTTCAAAAGAATAAGCAATTTTTTGAACGTTTTCTTGATTAGTCTGTCACAAAATAATTCATTAAGTACTTTGTTAAAATAAAAACTAATAGCTATTCACTTGATTGACTAAAAATAAACCTCCAACTCGGTTCCAGTTTGTCAAGCGATCAAGCCAATATACTGTGTCTTCTTTTGTTTTTTTTGATTTATATGATTCAATTTTAAGAGAAATTTTTTTTGATAAGAGTTGGTTAAATCTAAATTTGTGTATTAGGATATTTAAAAGTGGTATATGCGAATTCCTTTCTAAATTAATATAATTCCAAATACCTTCTACAGTCAATTGAAGATAAAATATAATTGTTTATTAAGATTACAATGTTTTGTGCTCCTCTACATACTAACCATTCAACAACGTCTAACCATTCAGTCTTGTTACCTATCGTTGACATAAATAATATCATTTAAAAGAGTGAAATTAGCAATATTATGAAATAGTATTACCAATAATAACATAATCGTATTCAGGATTACAGCGATAAAGGCCTAAAACTTTGTTTTCCATAGGTCCTGTTTTTAAAATAGAATCATCAACAGGAATAATAAATTTTTCAACAAATGATGATTTCCTAAAAAAAAAAAAATGTTTATATTTTTGAAAATTACAAATTAATTAAATTCATGATGCATAAATACTTCAGAGTATCAAGTAATTTTTCGCTGGAGAAAGACATTGGAACAATAGTCTTTTTTAATGGTTTTATAATACCTCGGCTTAGACCATTCATAAATTCTTTATGAACAATTCTTTTAGTTTCATCGCATTCATTTAAAAACTTCTTAGAAAATATTGTGTAAAAAGAAATGTTTTCCAGAAATATTTTTAAACCTGTATTGTGAACAAATCTTTAATAATGAACAAACAATAAACATTACTTTAAGTCAAAGACAATTTATGAGACTTACCCAATTTTTTGTATCTTTTCATGTCACTTTGACAATATTGAAAAAATTTACCGTGAGAATTTAATGAACGAACTGCAGCATCAAATCCTTTATCTTTTAAGAAATTCAATACAATATCAACAGCAACATTCTTGTTTTTCAATTTTATATTTATGTCGAATGTATTATTTTCATTCACAATTATATTAGACTCTGATAACTACAATATAATTTTCAGTACAAATATTAATATTTAAGTAACATATGTTAAAGATAGTCTTACAGAAGGAAAGCTTTTAGATATTAGAACAGCTTGTTGTACATTTTCTACTATGACATAGACATCTTTCACCTCAGGTAAACAAACTGAAATGGCTGCATAACCGATTGGATGAGTACCAGATGTAATCAAAACAGTTTTAAATTTTCGTAAAGTTGTAAGAACTTTTAACATATAGTAAACCTAAAAATTAAATATTTTATGATATCTCAGAAATGTTATTGAGTGGGTCTGGTGAAAATTTCAAACCGTAAGTCGTATGACGCTGGCGTCAGCGAGCGTTTTTCTCGAAAACGGTCGGAATTTTAAAACGCTCGTTGGCTCGCGGTAATAATTTTCCGAAAATCTCGTGACCGAGTACTTTTGTTGAAAAATTATTTGAAAATCCGAGCATGCTGAAGTAGTTTTCCCAGAGAAACGTTTCTTTCCATATTCTATCATATAATAAGATCATAGAACGTGTACATGGCATACAGAAAAATCGTTATTTTTCGTTGAAATTTGATGAATTTCAAACGCTTGTAGCTGCCAGAGTTTTGGTTCGGATTTTTGGCGCTTCCTCGACACGTGCAGATTGCCGTGATATAATTGCGAATCGAAAAAAAAATTGTTTTTATGTCGTAAAGTGTCGCAAGAAATTCGACCTAGGCGTCTCGATCGTGTGAAAAAAAGGTCGTAAACGGTGAAAAATGAACGGATTGAATTGATTTTTTTATGATATTTCAGAAATGTCATTGAGCTTATATACTTTAGTTATAGTACTAAATATACTTTCTAAATATACTAGTTTTATTTTTTATTAATATGTCTCAAATTTTGAACTCCTTCCACATTTACCGTGAACAAAGGATATTTTTAAAATTTTTGTTGATGATAATTTTAACTAGATACAATTTGCGATCTTATGACATATTAATGAAAAAAAATTGGTTAAACAAGAGCTGAGATAAATGTATGAAAGATACAAAAATATATCGCATAATAAAATAATTTCTTTTCATAAGAAGAGAACACAATGATGGGGTCCTTGATTTCAATGAAGTTATAGGAGTTTAATCTACATGAGATAATAATCATACGTATTTTTAATTTTTTCCTTATATTTACACTATTTTTTTTAAGTGTAAAAATGCTGGCACCTGGTGAGATTTGAACCTCGAACCATAAGTCTATTGTGCCTCTTTTTTTCACATGATTTCTGGTACACTTTCTATAACCGGCCGTCAATCCCCGTCGGCCGTGTTAAAATAAATGCACTTTTATCTAAATTATATTTGGTTCTCCAAAGGCATTATATATATCTCCGTTTAACCTTATTTCATATCTTTGTGTTACATTGTTTATTTTGGTCCTCATATATTCCTTAGAAACTTCCTTTCTAGTATAGCCAATTTTCTCTCATCTTCTAACGTTGTTGGTCATGTCTCACATGCATACGTTATGATAGGTCTTGCAATTACTGTGTATAGTCTCATTTTCGATTTTTTTGATAGTAGCTTTAAGCGCAGATATTTAGATAGTGCATGTATATATTTTTTACCTGCTAGAACACGTTTCTTAATCTCTTCGTAATTGTTGTTTTGGCTGTTCTGTACCAAAATATTTAAAACTATGTACTTTTTCAAATGTATACTCTCGATCTGTATATTTCTTGTCTGATGTATTTGTCGTTGTTCTCTTGTTATACACATATTCTTAGTTTTGTTTTCATTTATTTCAAATCCTATTGTCTTGCTACTTCATATGAATTCCTCTGTTGCTAATTTTAATCGTCTTCAGTTTCTCCAAATACTACGGTATCATCAGCATACGCTAATATTGATACAGATTCTCCGATATTAATGCCTTTATATTTATTATGTATGCTTCGAGCTACCACCTCCAGTGCGATGTTAAAGAGTATAGGAGATTATGGCATTAAGGCATTATGATAAATTATATATTTATCCAAAAATTAATAAAATACGTAAAATTATTTAAACCAAAATAATATTGAAGTGATTTCATAGGATTATCATGCGAGGCATGATAATCCTATATTATAGGAAAATACTAAAGGGCTTCTTAGTGGGAACATCGACAATTGGTCATACAATCATGCTCAAGCAACTGATAGAAAAATATTATAAATTCAATAAGAAATTGCATTTACTATTTGTGGATTTTAGACAATCATATGACTCGGTTAAAAGAGAACAATTATAGAAACATCTAGAACTATTTGGTATACCAGCCAAAATAAGAGCAATAATCCGAATGTGTATAGAAACAACAAGATGATGCAAAGTAAGATTAGGACAAACACATTCTGAAGAGTTAAAAACTACTGTTGGACTAAAACAGGGTACTGCACTCTCTCCTATACTCTTTAACATCGCACTGGAGGTGGTAGCTCGAAGCATACATAATAAATATAAAGGCATTAATATCGGAGAATCTGTATCAATATTAGCGTATGCTGATGATACCGTAGTATTTGGAGAAACTGAAGACGATTAAAACTAGCAACAGAGGAATTCATATGAAGTAGCAAGACAATAGGATTTGAAATAAATGAAAACAAAACTAAGAATATGTGTATAACAAGAGAACAACGACAAATACATCAGACAAGAAATATACAGATCGAGAGTATACATTTGAAAAAGTACATAGTTTTAAATATTTTGGTACAGAACAGCCAAAACAACAATTACGAAGAGATTAAGAAACGTGTTCTAGCAGGTAAAAAATATATACATGCACTATCTAAATATCTGCGCTTAAAGCTACTATCAAAAAAATCGAAAATGAGACTATACACAGTAATTGCAAGACCTATCATAACGTATGCATGTGAGACATGACCAACAACGTTAGAAGATGAGAGAAAATTGGCTATACTAGAAAGGAAGTTTCTAAGGAATATATGAGGACCAAAATAAACAATGTAACACAAAGATATGAAATAAGGTTAAACGGAGATATATATAATGCCTTTGGAGAACCAAATATAATTTAGATAAAAGTGCATTTATCTTAACACGGCCGCCGGGGATTGACGGCCGGTTATCGAAAATGTACCAGAAATCATGTGAAAAAAAGAGGCACAGTACGGGATTAGAACCCGCGACCCAAGGCGTCGTATAGACAAACCTTACCACTAGGCCACTGTGCACTTATGATTCAGATCCCGATACACTTTCATTTAGGTTGATAACGTGATGTACGGCTGAGGGAAACACGGTACCATGTCAATCTTTTATCTTGATCTAGATTATTTGACATGTATTTAATATACACACTGTCTAACACTAACACTAAGTTACTTACATGAGAAGAAATTAAATATGATATATAAAAAAAAATTGTACTTACAGTAGAATATGTCATAGGAACTGTAACAGCGTCCTCTAATGTCCATTCTTTTGGAACAGGCCAAGCTAATTCTTTTTCATAAATAACTTCGTTTTCTTTTTGATTGTATGATAAAATTCCCATGACTGATTTTTCATTTTTAGTAAAACCTGTATAATCAAGTGATCCAATTTCATTCTAAAAAAAAAAAATTATTTTGAACTAGAAATTGTAAATTTAAAAAAATGTTACATTTAAATATTCGTCTACAGCAATATTGCAGTGGTTTATTCCAAGGTACTTTATAGACAAACCATCAACTCTATATAAAAAAAACAATTTTTAATTTAGTTTAGCTTAATATTTTTATACAATTTTTTAAATATAATACATATTTTAAGTTTATTTGTGTTCTTGATTATAAAATAGTTAACAGTCAATATAAGAGTATGTTATTTAATAATAAAATACAAATATTGTAATTTAAATTCAAGATAACATTATATACTTAGTCAAAGAAATTTGAATTGGTAATTTTTCTTGCGTAAAATTATTTTCTAAGGTTATGTTTTCGTGCAAAACATTTTTGAACAAACCCCAACCTCCATTTTTGTAAATATTAATTAATAAATCTTTGCTAATTTGGTCTTCATAAAAATCTTTTGTATCATATATTTCTGATACATCTGAGTCGAGCATGAAAATAAATCTACAACAATAAATTAACATACTCGGAATAATTGTAAAATAATCTCATATATAAATTCATATTTATACCTGAGATTTTCACTTTTAAATGTTTCTAAAATATTTAAAACGTATGCATAGATTCCCATAGGTGGTTCAATTTTCGAAATTAAATAAATTTTTTTATTTGATGTTTTACATTCGGATATCGTTTTCCACAAAATTAAATTAACTTTATTTGTGTCAGTTTTAATAAAAACACTATTTTCATTAATTATTACTCTCTAAATAAAATAATTATCAATTTTAGTATTTTGAATTTATTTTATATTTATATAAGTTTTCTACCTTTTTTAATAAAGTTATGCAACAATTATTAAATTTTTGATGAACAATATTTTTCCAATTATCAATATTGTATATAAACTCATTTGATAAGACAAGTATATAGCTCGAATCAGTAGTTAATTTAACAATTGAATCTTTTATGTTAGAAGAAGTTGTTACAGCAACATATATTTCTGAATCATTTTTAAATCGAGACATTTCTTTTGAATTAAGTATGACGAACTATAAACAACCATAAAAACAAACACTTTAAAGCGTATTAAATTAATTTTTATATAATTTAGATTCTTAATATTATTTGAACTGTTAATTTTTTTAAATTTTGTTCATTATAAATATATATCATACATCGATTGACATTTTTTTATTCAAAAAATATTTTAGGTCCTCTGTACATTTCTTTATAAGTTGATTTTCAATGTCAAGTTCTTGTATCACCAAATTTAATTTTTTTTTTAAATTGCTACTCTTCAGCTGGTTAAAATTTGTAATTAAATCAACAGAACTCTCTATAAAGTCAACAATATCCTTAAAAAAAAAACTTACTTAAATAACAATTGTAATTATTACTCGTAGATTCATTATTTTTAAATTTACTTCAAAATTCAATAAGTTTTTAACATAAAAAATATAATTTTTAAATTACCATGTGCTGCGCCTTGTTAAATAAATGAAATTTACAATTTTCTAATTTTAAATTAGAACTCAATTTGTCAGTTGTTTGTATTTGAATATATTTAATACTTTTTATGTAAATTCCCTCACTTGTAACTTCTTTTGTCGCATTATTAAAAATTACACTAACAGCTAAAACAAAATGTAAAGAATTTTCAAATTATTAAATCTTACTTTTAAGTTTATAAAATGAATATTTAAATGGTTAGATAAAGGATTCCTTTTGTTCTTAATGCTCATAAAAATTAACTTGCTTCTTAATTATTGAACAACTGTATGCAAGGTTACACCTTAACTGCGCAACAAAATATCTTTAAATATATTAGAGTTATTCACTATTTTATATTTTTAACAATAATAGTTATAATTAATAAGTAACAAATAATTCCTATTTATTATTAAATAATTATATAAATAATTTTAATGGTAGTAAAAATTTACAATAATTGATTTTTACACCAAAATTATATTTTTTGTTCATTTTTNCAATAATTGATTTTTACACCAAAATTATATTTTTTGTTCATTTTTGGCAGCTATATTTTATGTTCGTAGAAGATAAGGATTTCGGAAAAATTTTTTTTAACTTTTAGTATGTAATATAAACTTTATTTTAATATAAGTTTGAAGTTCAGAATACTTCCGACACATTTACTCAATGTAAGCTGAAAAAGTTAAATTTCCATATTATGTTTCAAGTTTTTAACCCCCCCCCCCCTAAATAAACAGAAATGGTCCAATTTTAATAAAAAATATGTTGGAAGAAAGGGGTATACATTAAATATTTATAAAAAATATTGTATTGATTCATTCATTTTTCAAAAATCTAAAGTAAAATAAAATATGACAGAAAAAAAACATGTTTTTTAACAATGGCGTCCATTTTCATATAGTAAGATAAATAGACAAAACAATCTTTTTTAATTTATAATACGTATCATAATTTTCAATTTAATATATGTTTAAAGAATGCGATATTTCCGAAACGTTATCAAAAGTTGAAAAGTTTTCCTTTCTTGCAATAATTGCTATTTTGAATTCCCCTAATTAGCAGGTATTTTTTTTTAATAAAAACATTTTTATTCGTTAATTTTTCATTAAAAATATGCTATTAAGTATATTTAGTATGCTATTTTTCTTATCGTTCCTAAATTTTAAACAAGTGTAACTGGTTGAATATCTAATAATTACATTTTTTTTTAATTGAATAAATTTGTGGATATTAAAATAAATTAGAGTTCTAAATTAAATAAATTAAAATAAATTAGGGTGGAAATCTTAAGTTTATATGATTTTTGAGTATACGATATAGTAGCAAAAAATTAATTTTTAATGATATAGCTCAATAAAAAACCACCATTATTATTAAAAATATAAAATGATGATTAACTCTAATATATTTGAAGATATTTTGTTGGGTAGTTAAGAATTTCTTCTGTATTATCATGGATTAGATAATGTACTACTTAATTTATTTGACAGACGTATTCAACATCTTTTTATGAGTTGAATAGACATGGAGATAAATTGATACATACACATATTCTAACCATGATAAATCAGTGAAATTTAAACAAAAATATTTATCAAAATATATTTCGTAAATAATATACTACAGCTCAAGCACGTGTGTTAGTTAATTTAGATAAAATAATCAAAAATATCCAATGTAGAAATATACAAAATATCTGCTATATATAAAATTCTTAAACTTTTTGATACAATTAACATTGTGAAGTAATTTTTTTTTTTTAATTTATGTATTTTCAAATTACGTTAAAATCAATTTTTTATTATTTGTTTTTAATAATAATAAAAAACAGTTTTTAGCACTATTCTTGCAAATATTTCTATCCATAGAGTGAGTATGTAGCGCGTGTAGGTAACAACTCTTACTGGTATATATTAATAATGTATGTTAACCCCCGTCATATATCTTATTCTATATTACAATGTTTTTTACTCAATAATTACTTATCCTAAAATTGTTATCAATCTATTAATCATTATTGTAATAAAAACTAGTTTTTATTAAAAGTTAAATTTTTTTAAATAAATGCAATATTTTATTATTGAAAACAAATAATAAGAAATATAATTTAAACTATTTTGAAATTGCATGAATTATAAAAAAATTAGATATTACAGCAAAATGTTAACTATATCAAAAGTTATAGGAATGTATACTGAATGTATATAGAATGTATTTCTGCCAACTGTATTAAAAATCAAAAGAAACAATAAATAATAAAAGTACATTAAAAAAAAAATAGCAGCTACCTCTCCGGAATTAACTCATAATTGATATAATACGAAAGAATGAACACTGTGTAATACCCCGATGTGCATTGATAATTTTTTACAAATTATGGATATTTTTGTACCTATAATATTTATTTTGACTTTGAATATGCACTAAAAAGAAATACGCAGTCGGCAATTTTTTTATTATTAAATTAATCATATTTTTGTTACTAGAACAAAATATTTGTTTGCTTGATAATTTTTTTATTGTGCTAAAAAATTTTTTGTTTTATCAACAAAAAAATATTGTTGGCTGTATTGTATATTGACGATAAATTTGATGATTTTAATAAGTTTTTTTTAGTATAGCAGATATTTTAACTTTTATATTTTTGTTTCGGATATTTTTACTTAGAATATTTTGATATCAATTTTTATACAGTACGCTCTTGCTTAGCTATTTATTTTCTGTGCAGATATTTAATATTAAACTAAAATACACGAATAAGAAGGAAATATCTCAACCCAAGGTTAAAGTATCATGTCTTTAACTTAAAATAATTAAGTGCTATTACATTCTTCTTTTTTATTTTCAATTATTCTTGGATCAATGATAAATTCTTCAATATATTCTAGATCTTCTACGCTAGAAGAGTTCAAGTTTTCTAATAAGGCAATTTTCAATAAGTTATCCAAAAAATAAAACGAATTATTGATTGATTTAACTTGTGCTTTAATTCTTTTGTCGAAAAATTCTGCACTTTCAATACACATCATTTCGTTATTAATATGATATCCTTTATTTTTAAATATAACTGATATTTCATTTTTTGATAGAAACAATTCAGCTTTTTCGTTTTCTACCGAAACTTTTGATTGAATATTAGATATTTTGACTTCTGAATCTTTTAAATAATTCATACGACCAGTTAAAATTACATTTTCACCACAGGAAAATTCAAATAATCCTGATGGTTGAAGCATGAAATAAATTTGAATAGAATCTGAAATTCAATATTAGATATAAAAATTAATAATAGTAATAAGTCATAGCAATAACAAACCATTAGTAGAAATTTCAACCCTCTTTTCAATTTTTATATCATTAAATATAATGGCAGCAACGGAGAATATATTATTGATATTTTTGAATTTTAAAAAACATTTCCATGCTAAGAACTAAAAATAATAAATTTAGTTTTATTTAAACTACAAAATATGATACTTACCAACAAAAATGAAGGTGGGGCAGTACAATTTCCTTGAAAGTTATGATGTATTAAATCTTGATAGTCATTTAAATTTATATTTATAATTTCTTCTGTTGATGATTCCTTAAAGAAAAAAATCAATAAAAATCTCGATATTAAGTGTAATCTTAATAGAACGAAACCTTAATTAGGGTAAATTCCATTTCCTTGAAAAAACCTCGATTAATCGAAACAAAAATTATAGATAATTCGAATAAATTATTTATAGTTTCTCATAAATAATTGTGAATATTTACAGTGCTTTTATGCATGAAATAATTTAATTATGACAACTTAAATTAATTATTTTTTCATGTTAATTAATTTAATGAATGCAAGAATGTATTAAAACGTCATTAAATTATCTATAGATTTGTTACTTGAATGTGGCTTTATATTGTAAATGCAAAGTTGATTTCAATTAATTCTGAAAGACTAATTTTTCTTTAAAACCTTAATAATTCGGAATTTAAGTTCGAAACCTTAATAAATCGAAAAAAAAATTTCCTTTGTGCTTTAACTTATGAAGGTTCTACTGTAATTTTAACAATCTTTATAGGTAACAATATAAACTAACTATAAAAAGATATGTAAACAATACATACAAACTAATTAGTGAAATAATTTTAAAAAATCGGTTTTAATAGAATTAAATGTTTTTTTTTTATAATTTTGAATCAAAACCGATAATTTTTCAAAACAAAAATCATAAATACCATTACACTGTCACAGTCCCTGTTTTAATATTATATTTATTTTTTTAATAAATTTGGGTATAATCGATTAATTTTTTTAAATTATAAATAGTAATATTATTATAATGTGAGCCGGTAAAAAATAAACAGCTCGAGGACAGTCAAATAACCAACAGTTCAATACTTAAATACCTCTCCGATAAATTTTTGGCTACCATATACCTGCTAAATTGACTCATTATTAAGGTTCAGGACTTCGGTGTTATTTTTCTTAACACTAAATAATGTATATTAATTAGAAATCTAACTATGGTGGCATTGGTGAGGTCACTTACCATAGAGCGAAAATATACTAATTTATTATGGCAAATTTTCATTAAGTAATGTGAACAAATTTTATAAATACATTAAGTCTCAATCAACATATTACCACATATTGAAATCCACCTTTTTTATTTTTATTTTATGTAATATATAATTTGTTTAATTAATATTAAAAAAATATTATTTTAATTATCATTTGTATCTTAAAATTTTATTTTAATTAACTTTAAAACTGGAAATAATAATAATGATTTATGAATGGCTGATAATGTTTCTGTATCAATATATCTATGACAAACATATTGCTATAAAAGCACACAGTAAATTTAATTGTTGTAATTGGGTACACTATTTTGAGAACATCAAATCAAAGCATCTTATTTACGATTTCTTTATTCTAGACCCGAATACACAATCTGGTTTTTAAATTTTTTTGTTTAAAGTTTTGAAAACATCTTAAATATTTTTCCAAAATGATTGATTTTTGTTATTGTTTTTTTTATTTAAAATTAACATAATATTTTCGAAAAAATTTGATGGTCACCTTATCTATAATTCATAATCTCTTCACTACTTTAATGAATATCAAAGTTAAGTCGAGTATTAAAACGGAGGCCAAATCTAATTCTCTACAACAACAAATACCCTTAAAAAATACAATCATTTTTTAATAAGCAATTTAATATTTGTCATCAAATATTTTTATGGGTATAAGTTATTTGAGTTATATGAGTTGTAACATCAAAATGTCATAGAAACATCACTGTTCAATTTATTAATGAGAGCATAAATTTATTGTATAACTGTAATATAATACCTTCATAATAGATGTTACTACAATAGATAATTCATTTGAGTGATCCCAAAATGGTAAACTATGTAGAAAAGGTGTTCCTCGACTAACGGGATAATCAATTGGAGGATAAATTGCTTGAATATTTGGATTCAAATCATTTAAATACATTCTTAAAAAAATGAATATTAATTTTAATTACTACATTGCCTAAATGTATTTATTACTTTCCAAAAGCATTGAGTAAAAATTTGATTGAGTTTCCAAACACATTCTTAGTTAATGGTATGTTGGTCACTGTTTCAGGAAAAGAGCGTTTTAAAATCGCTTGAAGTAAACCGTGTGGAGCTATTTCAATTGCGATGGCATCTTTAGGAATATATCGAGTAGCCTCTTCGAATAAGACACTGCTAGAGTTATTATTTGCATGATATTCTGCTGACGAATATCGAGCCAAATCAGAATCCCATTCTGATTCTGGAACTGAACTACTAATCCACTTGGATGATCTCAGTTTTGGATTTTTAATGATCTATTATAATTTAATGTTACACGTGCTTATTTATTGCAAGAAATAATAATTGTTTTCCATACTTCTTTGAGATGACTCTCGATAAGTACAGCAACAGGTTTTATGTATCGACTATGGTATGCAATATTAGATACATTGACAGCTTTAGCAAATATTCCTTCTGATTTTAATTTTGCCACAAATTTTTCCACACTTTCAACGGGTCCGGATATAGTACAACTTGATGAACTATTATGACATGCAATGTCAATATCTTCCGGTACTATGTCTTTCATTTGAGCATAGCCGAGACCTAAGAACCTATGAAGTTTATACAATGTTCACCATTTTTATAATAATAATCAAAATAACCTATTGCAGCCATCATGCCGGGTATCAAATCCAGTTCATTAGATGATGAACCGCGATAATAAGAAGCTAATATTGCTTCTTCAATCGTAAAACATCCATCAGCATATGCGCAAGCCACTTCTCCCATTGAATGTCCAACTATACCATCTGGTTCGATTTCTAATGCATACAATACATCGACTAGGCCAAGCTATAATTAATTTTATTAAAATATCGTTTCTTACGATAAATATTTAGTAAGAATACCTGTATTGCTGTAATTCCAACAAAAGAATGAAGTATGTTATCAAAAATTGTAGTGTCGAGATCTGTCAGAATTTTAAAGATGTCAATTTTTTTTTTCCGTAAAACTATATCACATTTTTTAATTGTTTCAGCGAAAATTGGTATTTTCAATAAATCTGTTCCCATTCCAGGCCATTGTGAGCCCATCCCAGAAAATATATACCATACCGGACGTTTTTGCAATGTTACGTTCTAGAAATAATGAAATATATTTGTTAACTAATTAAAAACGTAGGTCATAATATTTTCGTTTCTATAACCAAACGTATTTCGAATAAACTTAATTCTTAGCATTTCAATTTTTTAATATTAGTTGAATAGACAATTAAGTACAGTTTTTCTTAAATACCTTAAGGTATACGTTCTATAAAACCCATTTTTTAAATTTAAAAATACATAAAATCTCAATTTTTTTAATAAAAAAATGTATAGAGGTATTTTTGAATATTAAAATAACATTATTAAATGTATAATATATATTATTACTATTTTGCATTCTTAGGTATAACACTATTTCAAGTTCTCTAATAATAATACTTCATTAGATTTATTGTTATTTTTTTTCAAAATATTCCTAATGTTATAAATTACAAATACACTAACAAGAAAAATGTGCAATCTAATCAAACCAATACTATTATTTGAAAAATTAATTGTTACAATAAAATGTTGGTATTCAAAATTAATGTACATTCCTCAAAATCCTTGAGTGTTGAAAACTATAAAAATTGCATGATATAGATTCATTAGTAATTTTTTTAGGTTAGATAATGATAAAAAATGTGGGATATTCTGATAAGTACTTTACTCAAGTATGCTTTTTTGTAATTCAAAATACTGTTTNTGGGATATTCTGATAAGTACTTTACTCAAGTATGCTTTTTTGTAATTCAAAATACTGTTTAGAATTTCATTTTATACTTCTTTTTATTTAGTTTAACTTTACTTAAATTCACCCGCACTACAGTAAAAAGAGAATTATATTTTACATAATCAACAAGTTTACTTTGAATAGAACAAAAATTGAATTTGGAAAAATTAATTTTAAAAAATGTTATATTTCTTTTAATAATAATTTAATGATTTTTTTTTTCATTTTATTATTTGTATACAATTTTTAGTTCAAGTTTTTCTTTAATAATATGACACATATATTAAAAGTAGATAAAAGTAGAATAATAAATATCTATAAATAATAATTTTAGGTAGTACTATAGTAATAGTAAATATCTATCTTTAACTGATGTACTCAATTATTAAAGTTAAAAATGGATTCCACAAATAGTCCAGTTAAAATACCTTCGATTTTACTTTTGAATTGTTGATACTTTCTTACTCTTCCTATTCACTTCTTATTTTCTTTATATCTGGTATTTTCCCATAATATTAAGAATAAAGCAATTTTTTCCTATTTTTAATTCTGGCGATAGGTCTAATGTATTAAGTTTATATACCAAATAAAAAATTGGAGCACTATCTAAATTATTTGAAAAATTACTTAAACCAAAAATATCAGTTACTTTAAATGCAATTCATATATCATACTACATCAGATTCAGAAAAAAAATTACTTTCACAAATCTTATGATCTTTGATAAATATCTGGTCAAATAATTAGAAAAAGAGGTATAAATAACAACACATTGATATTATATATCTTAGGGAGAGCTTTAGATAGTGTTAATTATAGAAAATTAGTATATTAGCTGAAACTGTTAGGAGTAAATTGCTCTTTTCTAAGATGGATTAATTTATTTGTCTCAAAGAAAAAAAATATGTAAAAATAAAAATAATATTTTTTATAATATTATTATTAAAATTATTTTATAAATATTTTAATATTTGTCACTAATATTATTTAATATTTTTGTAAATGATATTAAAAATATGTTTTTATCATTGTAAACCTTTAATTTCCTGATGTTTTAAAGTTATATTATGTAATTAATAGTGTTAATGACACTAAAATTGTGGATCAAGCTTTAAAGGTAAAATTTAATACTTTATCTAAAAAAAATTTAATAATGATATTAAAATTTATAAACTGCTGTATAATATTATTGGTTGTTTTGAATTAATAGGTCAAATATCGTTTAATGTCTCCGCTCAAAATCTTGAATCATCTTCTTTTTTTTAGATTCCTACTAGTAAACAATATTATAATATACATACTCTAGGATATTATAATATAGAACTACTAGCTAAATTGAATTTTTTTCACTTAAATTTTAACAAAAAATAAATCATTGCAGTTATAGTTATAGAAGTAAAAAAATAAACACAAAACAATAGAGATGAATACAAAAATCAAGTATACAAAAAGTTCAGTAAGTGAGGAAACAGGTCATTTGTTACAAATAATGAAAACAATAGAAACCTTTTTCTTTACTTTTTGAACACTCTGTATAAAAAGTACTCTAACAAATAAAATTCAATATGAAATAATTTTACTAATAGTATTACTATGAATCACGATAAAAAAATTTTTTAACTCAGATTTGTAGTACTAAGCAAGAAAAATCAGCGCAACAATGATAAAGTCTTACAATTTAAGATCACCAAATGGAAAACGATTTGCGGCTAATAAATTTGATACACAGGAATAATAAATGCAACAGCTTTTAACGAAGAAGCCAAAAATAATATTCAAGGTAAACATATACTTTTAAAATAATTTATGCAATACATGATCTACTAAATAATAACGGTTATCATAGACTTATTTATATTTGTCATAGAATAAAATTATTTAAATAACAAACCCGAAAGCTATGATTTCAAACAAATTTTTCAACAAAACCAACTTTAAATATGAGTTTATATAAATATTAAACTGTCGAAATTATACAAAATTAAAATTATATTCAAATGCAATCTAAGTATAAAAAAATAACGAAACATAATGGTTTGGTTTATGGAATAATTTTTGGTAAAAAAAACAACTACAAGTTAAAACAATCATAAATTAAACACTGGACATATGCTCAATAGATATTGTTGGTGTTGTTACGAAATTTAATCCACAAAAAAGCAAAGCCCCACAAGTCAGACACATATAAAATAAAAAAAATCCTATAATTAGAGATTGAATTTACTGTTTTAATAACAAAATATTGCAAAAATCTAATAATTCACTTAGTATATCGGGTGTAAGAGATAACTCAAATTCTTGATCAACATGATCAATTCATGTTACTTACAGAAAATCACTCAGTTACTTACAGAATAAATATAATTTAAACATTTTTTTTTTTTGTTTATTTTTAGTTGCACATTATACTTGAATTATAAACTATGTAATACTTTTTAAGTTCATCTCTTATGTCTTGTAAAGGTGTCAACTTTGTTTTTTTAAATGGGAACGCATGTCATATGAAATTTTAGTATAACTTTATTCGTTTATTAGATATCAATATTTAAATTTTCAAATTTTTGAGTTAATTTACATATACAGGGTGTTCAGTAAGTCAGGAAACGGGTTTCTATTGTTCTCATTGTTACAAACAATGAGAACAATAGAAACCCGTTTCCTGACTTACTGAACACCCTGTATATTACACGAGGGATACAAATACAGGTAGCTAATTGGTTTTTTATTACATCAATATTCGCAGGTATTTTTTGAATGGGAACACATATTTTGAATTTAATAAAATGTTTGAGTTTTTAATTTAATAATAAATGGATTTTGAATTTTTAATATGATAGAGTTTTAAGGAGCAGTAGTAATTTTGAAAAAAAGAAAATCATAAAAGAAATAGAAGAATTAGAATAAACAAGAAGTGGAAACAAAAAAAAGAGAAGAACTTAACTTTACTCATTCATTTACATTTATAATTATACTTATATTTAATTAAAAATTGCATTGTTAATTTCTTAATTGTTTTTTATTTCACTCAACCACCTTCAAGAAACTTCTCTCGTGCATCAAAAATCATACACACGCATTTTATTATTAATAATAATAAGAGATAATAAACCTGGATATCTATAGTTCTAGACTCATTTGAACCAGTAATTATATCAAAACTCCTATAATAATGGCCAGGAATTGTTTTCCTAAAAACATCATTCGTTAAAGAAGTATATTCATCATTAGTTCCATGGGTTTTAATCTAAAATCAATTCAAATAAGAATTAAAAAAAAATGTAAAAACAATTAAGTGGTATAATAAAATTACAATATTTAAAGCGCCTCGTACGTTGTCTTCTATCCGTCCAGAAACAAATATCAATTTTGGAATGTTATTGCCAGATACTTCGATTTGGTTTTTGTAAGTTTTATTATTTCGCTTTAGTATTATGTGGCTAAAACTGTTTGTGAAAGAAAAACTGTTTATTCCTATTATATCTTCATTAAAAGGTGTTTTTTCTGTAACTATCTACAAAGAAAATATGTTCCTTAATAGTAACTTTAGAAAAATAATTTATAAACTAAACTAGAAAACAAAACTAAATTATACAATCTTTTGGTCCTCATTATTTATAAAATACCTTATTAGATTTCCATGCTGATAATTAAAAAAATATATATATATTCTACTAATTTCATTAAATTAATTAACTCGAAAAAAAATTAGCTGTCTAAATTTGTGTATGGAGTATGTATTTTAGATTTTAAAAGGGGGGCACTTTTACTATTAATACAAACAAATGAAAATAAATTTTAATCTTATAAAAACATTTCCTAAAATACATAAATTATTTATCATATGCGTATGTTTTATAACTGAAATATTTCTAAAATAATTATGGTTTCATTAATACATTACTTATTTGCTAATTTTGAGTGTATACATGTTAATTTAAATACGTAAAAATTCAAATTTTTAATGAATGAGAACAATGTTGATTTATGAACATGTCACATTCTATAGAATATCTATATTAATATTTTATTGAATTAAATTAGTTAACCTTCATTTGTCCAGATTGAATTGCTGGTATATTGGTATGTGGTTCTTTGAAATTTATATTTGGTGGTATATAACCGCATTCAAATGTTATGATAGCTTTGATAATTGATGCAAACAAGTTACATTCTTCTGTATGACCAATATTACTTTTTAATGAGCCTATTTTTAACGTAGTTTTCCTTTTTTTTGTACAAAAAACTTCACCAATAACATTCATTTCCATACTATCTTCAATCTTAAAAGAATTTATTGGAAAATTTTTGTGTAATAAACTGCTTTATCAAATTAATTTGTATAATAAATAACACCTTTATTCCTGAACCATAAGCTTCAATGTATCCAACATCATAAGGGTTTAATTTAGCTTCTTGGTAAGCTTCAACAATTGTAGATTTTAAGAATTCTTTTGAATGGCTTGTAAGAACACCCGCATGATCACCAAAATTTTTTAAATTTGTACTAAGTAACGTACCATAAGATCGTTTAGCTATAGATCCTTTTTGTAAAAACATTACTATACATGCTTCTGATCTATTATATCCATCAGCTAAAGAGTATTTTAACATAAATAATAAATAAAATTATAAATTGTATAATTATATTATTGTAAATAAAATATAAGATAGAACATAAAATTTACTATTATATTGAAAAGTACTATTATAGTGAGTATGTCATACTCGTGTATTATGTTTAAAATGTATTGAATAGTTTAAAAAGTATAAGAATAATTTTCTTTAATTGGCGTTTTATTGAACAAAATATATTAATTACAATTAATAAATTACAAAATTACAAAATAATTCATTAATAAGAAGTATTGCTTAATATATATTCAATCGTATAAGATTAGTTGTTAATAATAAAAATTGATTTTAAAATTAATAGTCATACCATCATCACTTAGCGATTTGGTGAAATTTGTTTTAGTAAGTCTATCTATATATTGATATTGCATTTCTGCTTTCAAAACTAAATTAGTGCATCCAACAATAGCTGATTCAATAAGTCCATTTTCAATCATTCGTTTAGCCATTGACAAGCTATTCATACCATTTGTCCAACCTCCACAAATAGAAAAACTTGGACCTTTAATGTAAAAAATAAAAGTAATTTTAAATATAAAAATTATAATGTAGGTATTTTTGTCTTTGAATGAATATTACCTAATAAATTGAGACAATATGAAATGCGGTTAGCCTGCATAGTCTTTGAACATCCCAAAAGAATAAAATGACTCTGTTTTATATCACGTAAAAAAAGAGATTCGCAATCACTCTGAAACGTTCCCATGATCACTGCTGTATTTGTACCATCTAAGTCTGCAGGTGTCAAGCCAGCATCAATTATTGCTTCTATTGCTCGTTCATATCCCAAATAAGATAATGGATCTTTGACTGATGCAAGTTTTGAGTGTGCTTTAAAGAAAAATCTATCAAATCCATTAAAATTCTTAATTTTTCCAGTACCCGATGGCACATCCCACATATCTATAAAATTAACGAAAAATTTTCATATTTAAAAAAATTAATTATTTTTTCTGATTCATACTAAGTGACCATCTTCTCGAATCAGTAGTTATGCCATTAACTTTATTAAATAATAACTCTTTAAGTTCTTCTACATTATCGGATTCGGGAAAGTATCCTGCAATACCAGATATTACAACTTCTTCTTTAATTCCCATTATGCTAATTTTATAAAATTTCTAAAATAAAACAATACAGTGGAAATTATTTTACATACATAAAATACATTACAATTTTTTTCTAGTTTAAAATAATGTATACATACAGAATGATTAATTAATCGTCGACCATTGAATTTCTTCTAAAATAATAATAATTTTCTAATTAGCAAAATATATATGTTGCTATTAAAACAAAAAAGTTGATAACCTTGTAAAAGATAAGAAATAAACTTAAAAAGTATTTAACCATTCAAAAATAGGGGGAAAAATATTATTTAACAATAACAAAAAAAAAAAATTATCAAAATTATCTTAGAAGAAATCTAATAGTCAACAATAAAATAATTATAGTGTGATTTATTAAAAATACTATCCCCATTTTTTGTCAAATGTTTTTTTCATTGAAAATTGAAACACATCACTGTTGTAAATTATTTATAATTGTTTTTTATATTATATTTCTGTAAAATGGTTTAATGCGAAATTTTAAAGTGTGCAGATGATATTATCATATTAGGACCAAATAAACAAGAAGTAATAATGGGAACTAAGGACCTAATAAAAAATAGTAAAGACATCGGATTACCAATTAACCAATCAAAGACTAAATATATGGTTATATCAAGACGAGAAAATCACGGAGAACATATAGAAGTTGAGAATTTAAAGTTTGAAAGGGTACATAGTTTTAAATATCTGGGTGTTACAATAAATAGCAAAAATAATAATCACAAAGAAATTAATATAAGAACTACTTCGGCGAATAAATGCTATTATAGGTTAACGAGCATAATTAAATAAAAACAAGTATCAATCAAATTGAAAATTACACTGTATAAAGTAATTATCAGACCAGTTCCTTTAAATGCTTGTGAAACATGGCCAACGACCAAAAGGAATAAAGAACAAAATAGCAATCTTTGAAAGACGAATATTAAGAAGAATATATGGATCAAAAAGAAATAATATCACATGACTATATTAAAGTAGAAGCANAAAAAAAAGCAATCTTTGAAAGACGAATATTAAGAAGAATATATGGATCAAAAAGAAATAATATCACATGACTATATTAAAGTAGAAGCAACATAGAATTAAAACAGCTATATAAAGAACCGGGCATAGAAGCAGTATTACAATATAGAAGAATCGCATGGGCTGGCCACGTATGGAAGTCAAAAATGGTTTTTGACTAGTCAATATTTTAGTTAGCCCATTCTCCATTAAATGATTTAAACATAATCAGTGGTAGTAAAATAGTGAAGAAACCCTTTTCATTTATATACCCTGTTTGATAATACGTAAAATGTAAAATATATTCGTGCAGTATATCAATTTATAATTATAACTTTTTCTTATAATTTTTTTTCTAAGTATTGTATACAAATTTAGATATATAAAGTATACCTCATAAAACATATTTTTAATTTAATAATGCAATCTTATTACGACTTCATAAAAAATATATGTAAAATCATCTAAATATTGTATACAAATTACATTAATAGAGTAGGATTTTGTTCTCTGATGTATAATTTAATTTAAATTTTATCTCTTTTAACTTCGATGCGAAGCTGAAATTTTATTTTAAAATATTAATTTTACTATGATGTGTTTTTTTTTGTGTGTCTGTGAACACTCAATCTCAGCTCTTGCTGGACCGATTTTGATGAACAATACGTGAAAAGATACCAAATCGTATCTAGTCGAAGACATTACCCTCAAATATTGAAAAAAATTCCCTCATTCTACGTAAACGAGGCAAATCACCCAAAAAAATTACAAATTTAAAAATCGCTAAATTTCGACAATTTTTCAATTTTTAGCTTCGATGCGAAGCTGAGAAGGTATTGGTTTTACTATGATGTATTTTTTTTGTATTTGTTACCACTTTTTCTCAGCTTTCACCGAACGGATTTCTTTAAACGATACGTCAAAAGATCACAAATCGTACCTAGTCGAAGACAATGATTAAGTTTAAATAAATTTTCAACTTCTTTGATTTTTATCTCATTTAGATTCAATAACTTCAATAAAGATCAAGGATCCCATCGCTGTAGTCACCCCTTGTGAGAAGAAATTTCTTATTCATATTAAAATTATTTTACTATATTTTAGCTTTTAGCTTTGATGTAAAGCTGAGAAGTTATTTTTTTATGACTATCATTTATTTTCTCTGCTCTAACTTGGCCTACTTTTTTCAACGTAACGTCAAATTATTACAATTAGTTGAAGATATTACCCTCAAAAATTGAAAAAAAATTCTAATCTATTAATTAAACAGTTACTTGTCCCATGTTCTCCATGCAGACAATTAAAATCATTCATTTCTAATGTTTTAGAAGTATTAATTGACGAATCAAGTTTAATAAGATAGGTTTCAACTACAAAATTAAATCATTTTAATTTGTAATTTCATAATACTTTACTCTATTTATGTGTGCTAGTACTAGATTATAATATTCCAAATTTTTTGGTAACATGTTGTTATATAAATCATTTCTAAAAATAAATGATTGTTAGTTTCTCCTTAATTAATAATGGATTTTTACACTTATAATCAAATTTTATAATACGCTTAATTGAGTAAACTTTTTTAACAACTTTGTTTTGATTGATTCTTTTAGTTAAAATAAATCATTAAAATTAATTAACTTCTGAATATTTCAATTGTAGAATCTTTTAAAACACCAAAAGTTATTAGGAAATGAATACTATTATTTCATTACTATTATTCTTATTATTTCAGTTATCTATTAAGATAAAAATTTAAAAAAATATTGAGCTTTTCTGATAAATATACTGTAAATAGAAATTATAAAATTTCCTGACTGCATATTAACCTTAACAATACAATTTTTTTAATTTTCATAAAATTTTTTATTTAATGATGTCAATTTCAAACTTTCAAATTGAGCTAAAATTTATTGTAATAAATTAATTTTTTTTTACTATAAACTTTCACAAAAATCAACTTTTAATGATTAACAAAATAGGTTAAATATGTCATTTTCCTTATTTTTAACATATTAATAATCAAAACCAGTATTAATTTAAAACAATTTTTTTTTTGTTCTTAATTATTTTTTTTATATGTAAATACTTATTTTTTATATTAAGTAATAATATTAAAACTTAGAAGTGATAAAAAAGTTTAATTGCATATTTGAAATCATTGAGAAAAGTTGATTTAAAAAAGCATATATTTGTTTCTGATAAAAGGTCCTTGTAGTCCACTGTATAAAATTTAAAACTTTATTATAAGTAACAAACATTTTTTATTGAAAAGTATTGCGTCAAGCTCTTTAAATTTTTATATGCGTTAAAAGAAAAAATATACTAATACTTTATTATTTTTATAATATCCCCGTAAAAATTACAATATTAAATTATTGAATATCAATTTCATACTAAATTTAATTACTAAAATTATTATTTATTCATATATAATAATTATAAATCAAAAACTAATCGAGATAAAATTAAAGGAATAAGAGTTATTGTTGTTTTTGAAATAATCTACCAATTTCTTAAAACTAAACACTATCTACAGATTTGCATCGAAACGTTTTTTTTTTATACTGATTTTAATTACTGTTAGATATCATTATACTTGTTCCAATTATGCCACATCCATACTGTGCCTCAACCCCACTGTGCTACCGTTTATTTTTTTTGGAATAAATGAAAAAGTAGTTAAGAACTGAAAACTTTAATTGTTCCATATTTTTAATTGCTAAGAGCTACACATAATTATATAATAAGAATTCTTTACTTATGGTTAATTTTTTTTTAAATTAAAAATATATTTCTATTAAAAATATTTATTACAATACAAACGAAAGAAAATAATGTTTTTAACGAAATGTTGATCTTTCCAATAAAATTGATGTGAAACATATTATTGAAACTATACAATTAAGTATTAACATTTTTTTAAGAACATTGTACAAATTTTATTTATCTATTTTAATTATAATATTTTTAACACAAATAAGCCAATATTTTACTTTGAATAACAATATTCTCCTTTATTTATTAAAGACACCATCTTAAAGTTATGGTCAATTATTTATATGTATATATATATTTAAGTGTGGTATTTTTCAGAATTTGAAATTATAGAGGTTTTTGTTTTTAAAAGTTCAAAAATTTAAAAAGCCTTTATTTATTCTTTATATCTTTTAGCAAAATAGGCATAATAAAAACTAGAGCACTCTGAACTCATTTTTAAAAATGTATGAACTTTTTAATGTTACCCTTTATTTTTCCAAGGCCGCCTTAACGATGCCATAGTTTAACAATGGGTCAACCAAAAAGAAAATTTATTTAAATTTTTTATCACACTTTATCTAAAACAACGTCAAAAAAAATTTGAACAGAATTAAAAGATCCATGATTTAATGCCTTGTTGATAAATGCAATGCCCCAATAATAAAATAAAAATATTTGTCTAAGCAATATATCAACTAATTTTTAATATGTTCTTATCGGGAGCGCAAAACAAAATTTTATTTTATACTTAAGTTATTTCAACAATTATCTAATTCATTAAATACCTTTTAACTACGTCATTTCATTAAATAGTCTTTTGAAAAATCATAAATGTGCTAGTACTTAGAAAACCCAATTCTTTAATAACTAAAGATTAATTAAATTGTTAAATCATAGATTACACCAAACGTATAATCACGAATAATTTACGTATATAAAATATGATAATACATGTAACTTTTCTTAGAACCAAAATGAGATTTATTATTTGATACTCAAACTGAGTTATCTATCAAAATATGATTTTATGTAAACGTATTAAATAGAAAATATTAATGATTTTGGATAATAAACTTAATTTTAAAATATACATAAAGGTTTCGAATAAAATTTATATCATGATTATAATGTAAATTTTAAGTTATTAACATTTATTTGTATCTTGATTTAGAAAAACATATCTATGAAAGTATATTATGTACCACTGGCTTACTGTTAAGTGTACTTTTGACTTTTTTCTGGAGAAAATATTGAAAACTTTTTTTATATATTATCTTTTATGCATTATTACTCTTTAATGCAAACTAATGACTTAAATATCGAGTTTTTATTTGCCAAATTTATACACAATAAATATTATTTTGTAAATACAATTTTACAATTAATTCAATTTTGTCAAAAGAGCACTTGATTCTTTTTACAATAAGCCATTGACATATTCCGATTATTTGTTCCTACTAATTTAATTCAATAAATAAAAATAAATCCTTGATACCATAATGTCAAGGATTTGTTTAAAATATAAATATTTATAAATGAGCTTACTTTAATTAGTGCACAAAATATGAAAATAATTTCATATAATTTTTTTAAATAATATGTGTTGTATATATTTACCAAGTTCCATAGGTTTCTACTTGAACGTCAAATGGTATCACTAAAGTTATTTTGAACTTGAAAATATATTTTAAAAACAAAAATCATTAAATTGACCTTTGTAGTTTATTCCACTTTATTTGTGCATAATAAATGCACATTAAACGTCTATACAGGTCATAATCTAAATTGTAAAAATTTATTTACAAAAAGGTTGACATTTTAACATTGCTGTTATATAGAACAGAATTTAATAGGTTCAGAGACAGTTGCAAAATTAATTAATTAATTGCCAAATAATTGACAAAGTTTTATACATTAGTATGATTGAATAATATACAAATCAGTTTGACATTAAACGCCAAACTGATTTAACCGTTATATAAAATTTTTACATAACGCTAATACACTTTTTACACTTATTATACATTGCGTTTAATTATTAATATTAGAGGAAAAAAAACTGTCAAGTGTAATTTATAGATTTTTCTCTGTGAAAAGTGATTTCTAAGGAAACAATATTATTGATTTAAATAGAATTAATTATTCATTTATGGTTGAAACATGTATAATATAATGTGGTTAAAAAAATGTGTTTGTTAATTATTTTTCTAAATTATTTATTTAAATTTTTGGGTTGAAAAGTCATGTTCTTCAAAGAATATGATTATTAAATATAAGTAGAAGTGTTAATTTTTTTTAACACAATACCATTATTGTAGACACGAACAGGGTTGCCCAGTGTTATTCCATGTTACAATAATGACGACTGAATTACGACAATTATACCGAAGAAAAAAAAATAAGTAAAATATTTTTAATTTTCTAAAAACAATATTTACCATTCAGGGTAATAAAAAAAAACCTAGAACAGGGGGGTCGCAGCACAGTGGTTACGTGGCATAGCTGGATCAAGTATAATGATATCTGACAGTGATTAAAATCACTATAAAAAATAATGCTTCGATGCAAATCTTAAGATAGTGTTTAATTTTAAAAAATTGGTGGATTATTCTAAAAGCTACATGATCTGCTATTTTCTTATTAATATCCTGAATGAAAAAGGGGTTATTAAAAATATTATTTCTCATAAAAAAATTGTGTTGATCCATACACTTTTCAATAAGTTATAGCATTATAAAGTTAAAAATGTAAAAAATAAAATCGAGAATTTTCACACAATAATAACATTTGGTAGCCATTTTTACCACAAAAACAAGTCCAGAGGTCAAAATTTTTTTTTATATTAAAGTACATTACATTAGCTTTAATTTAAGATATATATAAAAGTGTCAGACCTTCCGGAACATTTTCAAAAGTTAAGTTGAAAAAGTTAATTTTTTGTGAAAAAGTTGTCATTTTAAATCCCTCTCTGTGGGTAGGTAAAGGGTCAGATTTATGAAAAAAATATACCGAATGATAGGTAAAGACATCAAGCATCTATAAAAAAAAATTATATTGATATATTCATTTTTGAAAAAGTTATGGTAGTTTTTTGTAAAAAAAATTGAAAGAATTTCGAAAATAAGCGATTTTTAAATTTGTAATTTTTTTGGAGGTTTTCCCATTTACGGGGAACCAGAGAATTTTTTTCAAATTTTGAGGGTAATGTCTTCAACTAGGTACGATTTGTGATATTTTACGAATTGTTGAAAGAAATCGGTCCAGTGAGAGCTAAGAAAAAGTAGTGACAGACACAAAAAAAAAAAAATAATAATAAAAAATAAATAAACACATCATGGTAAAATTAATACCTTCTCAGCTTCGCATCGAAGCTAAAATATGTTTTAGAAACAAAATATTTACTTATACTGACGCAGGTTTTACGTAAGAGAATCCCTGATTAAAGAGAAAAATGGCAATTTTATATCCTAGAAAAAGTAAATCAACGATTTCTAATAAAATTCCTGAGATACTGTATATTAGTGATCGATTACTCGTAATAAAAACCCTACCATAGGCATTACTCAGTGGCGGTCGTGGCATGGACGACGGGATGATCGCACCCCTACTAAAATTAACTAAAAGAAGTAAATTAATTGTATATTCTTAATTTTACATTTTAATAACTATTATAGTTATAACACATTTGTCGTGTGCGAACATTAAAGTCGTTACCTCAGTATTTGCGGTACACATGAACACACGAGCAGTGTTAAGATGACCGACAGCGTCGTCCGAACAATATTTTGAAACTTATATTATAATCGAGGCGCCCCCCAATCGTGTGCGGCAGGTACGGTTAAGCTTCAATTTTATGTACGTACGGGTTTAGCACCCCCACCATCAGCACCACGAAACACCACTGGCGTTACTAAGTTGTAAGGGACTGGTTTAAAATATTTTTTAATAAATGGTTGTTTTAAATACCCTAAAAATGAACGTTCTTTAGATGATTTTTTGGTTTATTCATATATGGAATGTTTGGTAAATAAGGAAGTGGGTTTCAATTGTTCCCAGTGTAACAATTGACCTGTTTCCTTACATACTGAACATTAATTATGTATATAAAAATATATAAGAAGATTATTACCTTGGAAAAAATTTTAAAAAAAAGTTATAAAAATCATAAAAAATGGTTTCATTTTATTTTTGATAAATTCATTATATACAATTAAACCTGATAATCTGATTTAAATAAACAAAACGTTTTTAAAATATTATTAGTTCAGTATTGCACATTGTTACGCAGTTTATCTAACTGATATCATCTGATATTAGACTGATATCATCTCAGAAACAACGAATGACAGTAATTATAAGTATAATCGTAGGGGTAACTATAAGATTCCCCATTTGACAAAAAATCCCCGCCAAAATTTATAAATTAGGTATATTATTAAAAAAATATATTTTTAGAATAGGAAAAATACATTTAGCTCTTTAACATTTTTTTCTACATGTGTCAATAAATGTAATATGGTATTAGAAAAATGTATTGTTTATAACTTGATACGATCATACAATTGAATTCAACATGGAAAAATTATATACAAAAAAATTTAAAACTTCATGCATATTTGATAAATTTTATAAGTAACTTTTTATTCATTTTAAGTACACATTCATTTTACTTCATATTTTATCACTTCTTAGTACATATTTTTACATTTTAATGAACTATTGAGCATATTTCGTTATTAGAGTATATTTACTGTTTTATGGATTTTAGCTTCGATGCAAAGCTGAGAAGGTATTGGTTTTACTAAGATGTGTTTTTTTTTTGTGTCTGTTACCACTTTTTCTCAGCTCTCACCAAACCGATTTCTTTCAATGATACGTCAAAAGATCACAAATCGTATCTAGTCGAAGACATTACCCTTAAAAATTGGAAAAATTTCCCTCGTTCCCCGTAAATAGGGTAAATCTCCAAACAAATTACAATTTTAAAAATCACTAATTTTCGACAGTTTTAAATTTTTTTTTGCTTAAAACTGCTATAACATTTTTAAAAATTGACGAATCATAACATTTTTTTTATGATAAATACTATTTATATACTTCTTTCATATGATATACTTTTTTTTTTATACAGAGTTATAGATTAATTATGCCTCACAAATTATCTCTGAAAATATAAGAATTATCTTTTTATTTTCTTTATGAAATATTATGTTTCTATTTTAGGCTGCTTGAGTAAAATTACATTTTTATGATGCATACATGATGTCATTACCTATCATTTGGTATATTTTTTTTATAAATCTGACTTTTTACCTGCCCACAGGGGGGGATTTAAAATGACAACTTTTTTACATAAAATTAATTTTTTCAACTTAACTTTTGAAAGTGTTCCGGAAGGTCTGACACTTTTCTATGTATATTAAATTAAAGGTAATGTAATCTACTTTATTATGTAAAAAAAAAAATTTCGGACTTAATTTTGTCTTCACGGTGAAAATGGCTACCATATGCTATTATTGTGTGAAAATTCTCAATTTTATTTTTTACATTTTTAACTTTATAATGCTATAACTTATTGAAAAGTGTATTGATGAATATAATTTTTTTATGGGAAATACTATTTTTTAATAATCCCTTTTTCATTCGACATACTTTATCTTAATCAGGATATTAATAAGGAACTAGCAGTTTATGAAGCTTTTGGAATAAACCATCAATTTTTTTAAATTAAACACTATCTAAAGATTTGCATCGAAGCGTTTTTTTTTTTTAGTGATTTTAATCACTGTCAGATATCATTATACTTGATCCAACTATGCACGTCACCACTGTGCCGCGGCGACCCCCCTGTGCTGGTTTTTTTTATTCTACTACTAGGCTATAATATTCTAAATTTTTTGGTAACATGTTGCAATAAATATAATTTCTAAAAAAAATGATTGGTAGTTTCTCCAGAATAACAATGGATTTTGTTATAATACATACACCACTTATTATTCAGTAGTATATATGTTATTACCTATTAGTCATCAAATTAAAAATATTATTCATGTTAATACTTTAAACTATTCCAAGAAATATGTCTAAAAATACATTGAAATCATAAATCTACATAATAAATCTACTGTAATAATTATAAGAAATTCTTTAGTTGTGACAAATTATCTATTTTAAGTAAAATAATATGTAATAAATAACACAAATTGAGTAATAAACAGATAATAGTAAAAGGTCGTGACACTTCATGCATAGATAGATAAATTAAATTTAATATAAAAGGGCATAAAAACTGTCAATCTCTCTCACTACTACTTNGAAGGGCATAAAAAACTGTCAATCTCTCTCACTACTACTTCACCTTATGAACTTTTAACGAATGCAAGAAGTGGCTTGACAAAATNGAACTTTTAACGAATGCAAAAAGTGGCTTGACAAAATACGATTTTACATAGAAAATTGAAGTATATCCATTTTTTCAACATTAGTCCTGAAATCATTAAGGTAAATTCATATTCAAATTAAATATAATGAGTACATTAATTAAGTAGGAAACCAGAAAAAGTAAAGTGATATCTAGAATAAAATATTGTCTAAATAAATAAAGAGAATCAATAATGTTTGTACGAAGTTAGACAGCCTAGTCCAATCTTTGAGTGGGTCACCTGTGTAGTCAATACTAATAAAGACTCTCTTGCGAAGATAGAGAACCCACTTGTGGGTCCTATACTACTCGAGGTTTTTATTGACTCGACTCACAGTCAGCACAAGCCTAGATAACTACTGGTACGAGTGGCGTTGTTGATGATTTATGTGTGATAATTAATCACAATAATTTCTATTTAAAATTATTATTATATTAATAAATTTCCAAACATCACTTTGTTTTTCTATATTTTACATCTTCTCATATACCCTCGTACTCATATCCCGAGAGAAAATTATATTATATCATTTTCTTTATTAAATAAATATTATAGTAACTCAATTATTCTCATGCTCATATAATACCAACAAATATAAATAATTTTAATAAATTATCCTTTGATTACTAATAAAAATCTTCATAGTAAATTTTCTCCTTTTATTTTGAGTTACTATAATTTTTACAACTATATTAAAATATTATAATACGCTCTATTGAGTAGATATTTTAACAACATTTTTTTGATTGGTATTTTTAGTTAAAGTAAATTATTAAAATTAATTAAGTTCTGAATATTTCAATTACAGAATCTTTTCAAACACCAAAAGTTACTAGGAAATTATTACTATTATTTATATTTAAGTTATCTATTACGATAAAAATGCAAAATAATATTGAGCTTTTCTGATACATTTTCTATAAATAGTAGTTATAAAACTTCCTGACTGCATATTAATCATAACGATACAATTTTTTTAATTCTCATAATATTTTCTATTTAATGATGTCAATTTAAACTTGCAAATTGAGCTAAAAGTTATAACAATAAATAAAGTTTTATGATTTATAAGTGTAATATATGAATAAATATTTCGTATAACAATTTTGTATAGTATGAAATTGATATTTAATAATTTAGTATTGTAATTTTTTACAAAAATCGTATTTTTTTTATTAACTTTGATATCCGTTTTCACCGTGAAGATAAAATTAAGTCCGATTTTTTTTTAATATTTAAGTATATTACATAAGCTTTAATTTAAGATATATATATATAAGTGTCAGAGATTCCGGAACACTTTCAAAAGTTAAAATAGTTTTCTATTCTATATGTATTTTTAAGTTTTGACCCCTCCTGTATAATGGGAAATGGTCTGATTTAAAAAAAAAGTATGTCGAATGAAAGAAGTATAATAAATAGTACTTAGCATAAAAAAATTGTATTGATCCACACGTTTTTCAAAAAGTTATAGAAATATAAAGTTAAGAGTGTAAAATATAAAATCGAGAATTTTATCACTAAAATAGCACATGATAGTCATTTTCACCGTGAAGACAAAATAAAAGGATTTATTTCAAAAGCAATATCAACTTCTATTTTCTTAATCACGACCTGATTACAATTTTTATGATTTATAAGTATAAAACTTGATTAAGTGCATATTATAAAAATGAAATTTAGTATCGAATCTTAATATTGAAAGGAAAAACCTACGAATATTGTTTACATATGGTCGATCAAATACAGCTCAAAACTAAAATAAAGACTCGTGTTTTAAAACCTAGATGGTATAAGGAAATTAATTTGTATAAATATGTAGAATAAAATGAATGAATTTAATGAATAAAAAGTTAACTATTTGTTGTGTGAAATAATAAGTAAAAGATAATAGGTTTTAATTTTCAAATTATGAAGTACTATGTGATAAAATTAGTCAAGATATTTTATGACAGCCTCTCACATACAAATTTGTATGTTATGTGCATTACCATGTAACCATTTGAGGTTTAAATTATTTGTTCATTCATTTTATAGCACCAAAATATTGAAATTTTTCTATTTATTTCACATATATTTTGATAGTAATTACTGTAAATTTAATATGGCCTTGAAGATTCAAATACGTGTTATTTTCAATTAAAATTTTTATGAAAAACATATTTTTTGTTTCCAATAAAATTTATTGATTTCTTTAAGACAAATTTTTAACAAAATAATAATATTTCTTAAAGGAATGATATTATTTTTTAACAATCTTAAGATTAAATAATAATTGTAATAAGATTAATAAGTACAAAACTGCTTAAAATTTGTTGAAAAAGGAAATCTGATTATTTTAAAGTAAAAAATTTACATCTGAACTTTAAAAAAATTAATTTTGCGTTTTTTTATCTGTGTACCTTAATAAATAGTTTACGAATGAGTTAAAAATACTCTATTTGTTTAATCCATTAAAATTGAAAATAATTCGAAATAATGGTTATAATATTTTTCTTTTATAGTCATATTATTTTCTCCTTTTTTTAAATATGCCATATTATTATTGATATTTTCATAAATTTCATTTTTAGTTTGCTTGTTATTCGAATCTGTGATATTTTCAATATATACCACTGGCAAGGATTTACAGTACTGAAAATAATAAATTAATTAGAAATTATTTAAAACTTATTTTCTCTAATATATTTTGCTAACATACTTTGAACAAGATTGATGAAGAATAGTCATAATGTTCGTTAAAAGTAAATACTAAAACTTTAGTATGCAATTTATTTGGTAATGGTTTGGTATCTATTAAAGCTTGGAGCAACGAAAAAATACCAACAAAGGCATCCATAATATTAGAATCTCTTGAAAATTCTATATTCAAAGAATCATTACAGTGTTTTTTCAATACATTATGAGCATCAGACTTAATATTTAGACCAGACTGTAAATAACAAAAAAAATCTTAGTATATTACGCATATCGAAGAATTTTTCACAGTCTAAATAATCCATAATTTATTGTTAAGTTTTTTAAAAATATTAAACTTAACAATTTTTTATAAAAAAATAAAATCTCTTAATATAATAAATAATGCACTTAATTTTAAATAGAAGTTTTATAAATAAAATACACATGAAGAATGTTCAGTAAGTAAGGAAACGGGTTTCTATTGTTCTTATTGTTTGGAACAATTTACATGTTTCCTTACTTACTGAACATTGTATATACAGAGTTTTCAAACAAAATTTTTATCAGTTTTTGAAGTTCTAAATATTGTTTATATAGAGTTTTTATTATTTATAAGTATTCAGTGAAATTATTTTATCAATTTAATATTTGTTAAAAATATAAAACTTAAGTACTCTATTATGTTGGGGAGAGTGATTAAATGGCGCCTCTTTAAGGAAAATTCATAATAATAAATATTTTAATAGGAATTAAATATTGATTATTACCTGAAAAGAAAGATAAACTTATTTTCTACCAATATATTTATTAATTTTTTGTCAAGGAATTTGATGAAATTAAATTTTTTAGACAAGAGGCACGCCCATAAATATGAATTATGACAATTTAAAAAATATTTATAGTTATAAAAAAATAACAAATTGAACTTTATAAAAATAAAAGTCATTTACACATTTCGGTTAATAAGATTTTAGTCGACCTTTTGTATTCCTACTATATCACTACTATAAATATTATTTTAAAAATTATAATAATTAAAAATACAAAGAAATTAAATCAAAATTCTGGATTTATTTAAAAAACGTGATTTTGTAAAAAATAATTATATCATAATTTAACAAAATTTAATAAATTGAATTAACATATTACATAAATAATGTTAACAATAATAAAATAGTAAATTAATAGCCATTATCAAAGCCATTACATTATTATGATATTCTCGTACGAAAATACTTATCCTAATTTTAACCTACAATTAAAATAACTTATATTTAATTACTAAATTAATTAAAATAAGTAAATACACTGTTTAAATATTTGCAGCTTAAATCGCCAAACCAAATAAATATATTAGACCCTCATTAAAATTAAACCAGATAGGAGTGATTTGGGGAACAATAATAATTATTTTAAGGAAATTAATTTTGGAATTGTTTAGTTTCATATACATGTTTATATTTTTTATTTTTCATTTTTTGGTTAACATGGAAACTCGGAGATATAACTTTCTAACTTTTCCTAAATAAGTATGAATGAAATATTACTGTTGATTTATCATACAAAGCAGAAATTTTTGATAAGTACCAATGTTGTAACAAATTAAGTACAACACTAGTTTTGGTAGCTGACCATTGGCTAGTCATATTTGAGTAGTACTAGCTGACGTCTTGTTACTCATCCAATATTGATGATCAGTACTTGGTATCCATTATAACACCAATTCTAGCAGAGTATTGGCGTGGTTATGGTTATACAGAGTATATCAGTACTACAGTTCTACGACTGCCAGTCGTATGCTAATAATGGCGCAATACTGAATCTACCTATTTCTAATTTCTGATTGGGAGTCATAATCACATTAAATTAATAAATTTATAATTAAGGCATAGAATACAGAGATTTTCTGCTTTGATTTAAAGTATTCGACCCATTAAGAAAAAAAATACTATAATAAAACTAATTCATTCTATAGCTTTAATATCAATAATATCTTACTGTTTGTAATGGTAACAAATATTTTTTTTCCAATTTTGCTTTTATGAAAGAATTAGTAACTATATATCTAGCCCATTTGAGAATACTATCTAAATCTCCATTTAATAAAGACACAAAAACCAATGTTCCTTCGGCTTCCAGTATTTGAGCTATTTTTAAAACAATTATTCCACCCCATGATTCGCCAACTAATGAAACTGTATTAGAGTTTGATATTTCCTTCAGTTTCTATAGATAAGAATTTAAAAAAATAGTAACTTAATGGAAATGATTGTAGAGTAATTTTATTTTACAATTACCTTGACGTAAGTTAATGCAAGGTTATCAATAGAAATAATACTATTTGGAAGATAAGCCTCAAAAGCAGGATACATAAGATTTTTATAAAATTCTGAAATATTATTTGATTTAAAACCAGGAAATACAAATACCGGAACAACTTGTTTCACGTATGAATATCTTGGGCTCCTAGTCTGAATTTCCACAAAACCGGCTTCATCTTTTACTTTGTTAAATATTTTAAGCAAATCATGAGATGATTCAGGTAGTTCATCGATGTATGTATCATTTACAGACCCTGTTTATCAAAGATTTTTTTTATAGTACAATAATGCAAACTTAATAGATTTAAGAGAGATTTGTACAGTATACACTAACTCATAGAATGATAAATATATTTATGCAATATACCTCTATAGAATGTTCAAAATATCGTTAGATTTTTTTATTGTTGTTGCAAGTAATGTGACTAACTGTTCACATGTACGATACAATAAGAACCTGAGATGCTATCTAACTTTTTTGAAAATTTTTTTAAATCAAACATTTTTTTTCAAAAGAGCTCGGGTTTGAAATATTTTGTATCAGTTTTGGGTTTAAGTCAATGTTTTTAGTTCGATGCAGTTCAGTGACAATACAGGGTAATTAACTAACTATGCTTCGTAAATTTTCTTTAAAAATATTAGTGTTATCATTTATGTAATTATTTTATTTATATATTTTATATATATATTTTATAAATATATATTTTATAGATCATTTTTGAGCTACTTGATAAGAAAAATAATGTTTCCATTTTCATCCCTTAACCCTCAAATCAAGTTTTTTTTTTTATTAATAATCTTGTTTAGCATAAAAAATTGATTTCTCAAAAAAAAAAAAAATCAATTTTAATAAATTCTAAACGAGATTTCACTATTTAAAGTTTAGAAGATTTAACAAATAAAACAGTAGTCGGGTAAATACAGTAACATTAATATTTAGTGTACAGATAAGAACTATCGGTGTATTGTACCCTGACGTAAAATTTACACGTCTTTTATAAATCAACGTGAGTAATACTCACATCCCTAAACATTAATGAATCATAGCTCTCTGAAAATTCAATAAAATAAAAATAAAAATTTTAAACTATATCTAATCTGTATATATAAAAATATAGGATTACTAATTGAAAATTGGAAGTTACTGTTTAAATCATAAGGGATGTTCATAAAAATGTAATTTTACTCAAGCAGCCTAAAATAGAAACATAATATTTCATAAAGAAAATAAAAAGATAATTCTTATATTTTCAGAGATAATTTGTGAGGCATAATTAATCTATAACTCTGTATAAAAAAAAAAGTATATCATATGAAAGAAGTATATAAATAGTATTTATCATAAAAAAAATGTTATGATTCGTCAATTTTTAAAAATGTTATAGCAGTTTTAAGCAAAAAAAAATTTAAAACTGTCGAAAATTAGTGATTTTTAAAATTGTAATTTGTTTGGAGATTTACCCTATTTACGGGGAACGAGGGAAATTTTTTCAATTTTTGAGAGTAATGTCTTCGACTAGATACGATTTGAGATCTTTTGACGTATCGTTAAACTCTCAGTTAGTCATTTGAGAGCAAAAAGTTAAGCTCAACTAAACCTTATTAATAGAGCGCGGAATTATATGCATTTCTAAATTATGTTTAAACACATTGAAGGATCCCAAGTTAATAAAAACTTTGTCTTAGGATTATATAATAGAGTAAAAAAATTGTTTGTTTTAAAGGGGATAAATTCTCAAACTATAACCTCAGTTAAAAACATTACTAAGTTTTCAAGTTAATTAATAAAAATGTATACTGATTCAAGTACGTATATATGTATATATACATATATATCTGAATGTATTCAGAATAACTTAACAAAATTTATAAATGCATATAACTCCGCGCTTTACTTATTGTACATATATACATTGTTTTATTAAACAATTATTTTTAATAATATATTATTATAAATTATAGTATTTATTATCATAATAATATAATTAATTGTTTATTAGATTCATTAGGTATATTTACATTCCATTTTTTCATAGTTCTCTTCGGAAAATTGAAATGTGGAAGAAGTCATTTCTATGGACTTATAAAGCAACGAATCCAAAGCTAATAAAATAGTTTTTGCAGATATCTTTTTGTTGTTAGATGCGTCCCAAGTAATATTCAAAGCATTAAACCCTTTCGATTTAAGGTTATCACAAATCTGTTCACTTTTACATAAAATACATATGAAAAGAGAAGTTGGTATTTTTTTGCTCAATTTTTCAAATGCATAACTGAATTTACTTAGTTTATTCTGATCAGACTGAAAAAAGTGTTTCATTAAGTATATGAAGTATATAATTTAATTATCATTCACCACTGAAATTGTCCTAAACTAATAATAATTTTGAGTATTTTGAATGTTATACTTTATAAGGATACTAATTTTTTTTTTTTAATGCAAAAATTATATTTTATTAGCTTACATATAAGAAAATTATCCAACTAAAAAATAGCAGGTTAATAAAAACTTTTGAAGCAGTTTTCTTCTTCTTCTTCATCGCCTTAATCCCAATTACTTGGGGTCAGCCACCCTTAACCTAAACTTCCACTTGACACGATTTTGAAGCAATAGTTTAGAAATTATGACTAATAATACTTCGATAGAAGGAGTTTTGTAGTAGAGAAATGCATAATAATAAAAATAACATAGTATGCTCATTGTTCCCAGTCTATATATTAAAATGTTAATGACATTCAAAATACTAGTTAAAAAGTTGTTAATATTTCCTCATTTCTATAGTTGGAGTATTTTTTATTATGTAGACTAGTTAAATTAAAATAAAAATATTCCCATTAAAAAAATTAAGTTGATACTCTTATAAGGTATAAGGGATAGATCTAAAAATTATTTAAAAACTTATAAATTAAAAAATAAACATCAAAATCAATAAAAAAATTCTCAAAATTAGTATTATATTAGGAGAAATTTAGCGTGTAATGATAAATCAATCACCCTTTGTATATATAATTAATATATTAATACTTGATCACTAATGAATAATCCACCAAGATAACCTGATTCTGTATAATGATCAAACCATTTAAGGATATCTTCTTTTGATTTCATTGATGTATCTAATTCAATTTTTATAGATGTATTTTTTGATAAGAGTTTATTTAACCTTTACAATACAATCATTTTGAAAATGTGAATTATTTATTTACTTAGAGTTACTATTTTAATTACTTTCTACATCCAATTACATTCAATGAACATTTATTCACTATTATTGTTATCTTTCTTGCTCCTCGTTCAACCAACCATTCGACTATGTTTAACCATTCATCTCTATTTCCTAATATAACAAATAGAACGAAAATATAATATTGAGAAACACCAAAATCGAGTTCAAGTTTATAGAAGAACTCATATAGTATAGGATTTCTAAAGTAAAAGTATATTTTATGCCCAATTAACGCAAAATTTCATTTATGGGTAATTCGAGTTTAAAATTATTTTAAAAACATTTGGAAAACTTTCGAGATTTCAATTGACTAAGTTAGGTTTCTAGAAATATATTTAATTTAATGCATTTTTTATTTAAATGAAGAATAAAATTTAATTTTTAAATATATACTAATAAATTATAATATACCAATAAAATTAATGATATTTAGTATAACATACAACTATACGTTGATGTGATTGGGGCTTTTAAAACTTAATACCATAAAAAAAAATATAAAAAAAATTTGAAGTGACCTGATTTTTCTAATAAAATCATTATGCATTTATTTATAATAGTTGATGATGAATAAGAATCATATTGATGTATGCCACATAAATGTTAATTATAATAAATTAATTTTAATTTATTATTAAAATTATTCACTTTTAGTTATTTTTAAAGGATATATTCTCTATAATATAATAAAATAATACCTAAGATAACATAAGATAGATCTGGATTACATTGATAAATTCCTTCTGCGGTAGACTTCACATATCCTGACTTTGAAATAGAGTGATCCAAGGGAATTATTACTCGGCCAGTATTTAAAGATGCATTTCTAACAATAGAGTAATATATTAAAATAAAAATTTAAAAATTATAAAAATAATTTTACTACTTTAAATTATTAAATAATTCGTTATTGTATAACGACGAAGAGAAAAATTTCCCTTTTAATGGTTTTATAAAGCCTTGTTTTAATCCATTTAAAATAGCATCATGGATAATTTGTTTATTTTTTTCAGATTCTTCAAATAATCTATATGATGATATTGCATAAAATGATACGTTATGTATAAATATTCGTGATCCTATAAATAAAAACATTATGATATAGACGTAATTTTATATTAAATGAAATACACTATTAAATACCTAGTTTTTCATATTTCATCATATCAGTCTGAGAAAAGTGGAAAATGAAACCATGTTTTGCAACTATTTGCATAGTATTAAATAAAAATTCTCCCTCGAGAAAATTTAAAATATGCGAAACTCCTAGATAGTCAGTAAAATGCATCATTTTAATGTTAACTGCGTTACCTTCATTTGTGATTATGTGTGAATTTGGTAACTTGAAAAATATATAAATTAAAAAAACTTAACTTTATACATAATAATAGAATAAATTACTGAAGAAAAATTATGCGAAATAAAGTCGGCTTGGTGTTTATTTTCAATGACAACATAAACGTTACATCCTTCCGCCAAACAAATATTTATGGCTGCTTGTCCAATTGGGTGAATACCGGATGTAATTAGTACAGAACTTAATCTTTTCAGCCGACCAAGTACTTTTAGAACATAGTATGCCTGTAATTTATTGAATAAAACTCTTTAGATATATTTTATAACAGAATAAAATAATCGTTAATAATTAATCAAATTTTTAATAATAACGTATGTAAAGTTCTAGTTATACACATTAAAAGTTAAGACGCACCATTGAATATGCTAAAGGAACAGTAACTGCATCTTCTAATGACCATGATATTGGAATAGGCCACTTCAAAATTTGTTCGTAGTTTGAATCATTTGATTTTTGGTTATAAGAAAGAATACCCATGAATGCTTCACCATTAAAATTTACACCAGAGTAATCCAGTGGCCCCATCTCATTCTTAAATAAATTTGTTTTTATGTGTAAACATTTTTGTGTTTAGTTAAGGAAGTATACTTAAAAATTAGTGATGTCCGAACTGATCGATTTTTAAACAGAACTGAATTTTTCCTTTTAAATTAGTTCAAAAATCAAATTATTGTAATGAAATATTGTATAAAATTTACTGTACAGTTTATCTGTGAATGATCAAAATTAAGTTCAAGTCAATTAAAACATTTGAATTGTTTGGCTTGGTTTAGGTTCGAATTAAAAATTGAAAATATGGTTCGATCTCAAAAATCATGGTTCACAACATCATTTATAAATATATATATACATTTATTACCACTAAGTGTTCTTCAATAATAATATTTTTATGATTTATTCCGAAATATTTTATTTCAAATTCATTATTCCTTTATAAAATATTTACAATTATTTATTGATATTTCCAAAAAGTGATCAATACTAAAATACTTACTTTATTAATGGACATTGTATGGGTATAACTTGTGTCGAATTATTTGTCTCTACCTTTATATCTTCAAAAAAAAAATTTTTATAAATCCCCCAACTACCATGTTTATAAATATTAGTGATTAAATCTTTGCTGAGTTGCTCCTCATAAAACTTTTTATCAGTAAGTAGCTCTGGAGCTTTTGAATCAAGAATAAAGATAAATCTTAAAATAAAATTATTACAGATACTCAATAAATATTAAGAATTATTTTCTCAAAAATTTCTTCATTTTAGTTTACTAACCTTATTTTATCAGTTTTTAAGAATTTGAACATTTTTGTTATATATTTATAGATGCCTTCTAGAGGTTCACTGTATGAAACTAAGTATACTCTTTCGTTTTCTTTTTGACATTGTGAAATTGAATTCCATATTCTTAAATTTGAATTTTCAAAATTGATTTTTATAAAAGTACTGTTTTGATCAATTTGTAAGTTCTGTATAAATTATTTTTATTATTAAAAAAATGTTAGCATTATTATTTCATAATTATTCAAACATTTTTTAATTGTAAAACAATTTGGGGAATTATGTTCGAAATCCCCCTCTCCATGTATAATCTAAAGCAATGCTCTTGTTAGATTATATAAAACAATATTATACATGTATTATATAAAAAACCCAGCACAGTGGGGTCGCGGCATAGTGGAGACGTTGCATAATTGGGTCCAGTATAGATTTAATCTGACAGTGATTAAAATCACTATCATAAGAAACGCTTCGATGCAAATCTGTAGATAGTGTTTAATTTTAAAAAATTGATGGATAATTGCAAAAGCAACATCAACTTCTATTAAAATAAAATACAAAACCCATAATTATCATACAAAAATAGTATATTTTTCAANGTATACCCAGATTAGTAATTCTTTTAATTATAAATTATATAATTTTTAAAATTAATTGTTTTCAAATTATTATTGATATTGATTTTAAATATGTTAAAAGTAATAATTTTGAACCTACTTTGTATTGTCCTTTAGAGTGAAAGTTTTAATAAAAAAAAATGAATTTATTACTATAACATATAGCTCAACTTGCAAGTTTGAAATTGACATTATTAAATAGAAAAAATGAAATTGTTAAGAATATGCAATTAGGAAATTTTATAATTACTATTTACAGTACATTTATCAGAAAAGTTCGATTTTTTTACATTTTTATCGTAATAGATCACTTTAAATAAAAATCATAGTAATCATTTCTAATTAACTTTTGGCGTTTAAAAAGATTCAACAATGGAAATATTCAGAATTTAATTAATTTTAATGATTATATATCTAAAAAAACCAATAAAAAAATAGTTATTAAAAGGATTTACTCAATTGAGCGTATATAAAATTTGATTATAATTGTAAAAATCCATCATTAAATTCAGGTGAAACTAAAAATCATTTTTTTTTTTAATTTATGATTTATATAGCAACATATTATAAAAAAATTTGGAATATTATAGACTGATATAGCACACACAATAGAGTTAAACAATTAATAAATTACTAATTAAAATTATTTACTTTTGTAGTTGAATACTTTTATCATATCAAATCTAATTCGGCAACGAATACTTTAAGAATATTAGAAATTAATGATTTTAATTGTTTGTATGGTAAAAGCTGGTTAAGCTACTTTCTATTTTAATAAGGAATATTTTTTCGATTTTTAAGAGTAATAACTTAAACTAAATACGAATTGTAATCATTTGACGTATCGTTGAAATAATAGGTCTAGTGAGGGTTAGCAAAATAAATCATAGCCACAAAAAGAACCACATAAGAAAATAATATTAACATGAATATAAATTTCTTCTCATGAGGGGACACTATAGTATTAGGTTCCTATACAGAGTGGCCCACCACTCACTGACAACTTAAATAACTTTTGATCCAGTTAATATTTTTAGATGATTTTTTTTTTTAATAATAGTTATACGTTAGGTCTATTGCTATATCTCAATAATTAATTTTTTTACATTTTATTAAAAATATTAATTATTTTTAAATTTTAAATAAAATGTAAAAAAAAAATCTAAGATAGCTATTTTGTAGAGTAGAATTTAAGAAAAATTTTAGTAAAAAAATATCTTATTAATATTCAGTAGTAAATATTCTGTAGCGTTTTGAAGTTTGTAAAAATTTGAATTTTCATGTATTATTTTACGGTATTAAACATTGAAATACGTATTGAGAAAAGGACAGAAGAAAACGCTATCTTTTCATGATTACTGTGTATACATATGATGATAATGTGTATACATTACAAACTTGGCATTAATACCATGATAAGAAATTAGATAAGGCAATTATTACTTATCTTTCTCATTCAAAAGTATAAGCCATTTTCATGGAAAAAGTTACATACCTCCAAATTATAGTAAACATGAAAAGATAGCGTTTTCTTCTGTCCTTTTCTCAATACGTATTTCAATGTTTAATATCGTAAAATAATACATGAAAATTCAAATTTTCACAAACTTCAAAACGCTACAGAATATTTACTACTGAATATTATTAAGATATTTTTTTACTAAAATTTTTCTTAAATTCTACTCTACAAAATAGCTATCTTAGATTTTTTTTTNTTTTCTTAAATTCTACTCTACAAAATAACTATCTTAGATTTTTTTTTTACATTTTATTTAAAATTTAAAAATAATTAATATTTTTAATAAAATGTAAAAAAAAAAATAACGGTAGCACAGTGGGGTCGAGGCACAGTGTAGACAAGGCATAGATGGGACAAGTATAGATGTTATTTGACAGTGATTAAAATCACTATCATAAGAAACGCTCGATGCAAATCTGTAGATAGTGTTTCATTTAGAGCAATTGGTGGATTATTTCAAAAGCAACATCAACTCTTATTTCTTTGATTATATCCTAATTAGTAGTTCTTTGATTTTACATGATAAAATTGGCTATTTAAGTTAACTCAAATTTAAAAATTACTTTTTGGACTTTAAAAAAGTAAAAAAATTTAATAACTTTAATTTCTTATGTCTTATGAATTTTATTCTATGTTAATTAAATTATATAATATTCATGAAAGTCTGTGTATTCTCCTAATAAGATATTTTAAAATAAAATAAAATACAAAACCCAAATTTTAATACAAAAATAGCATATTTTTGAATACGGTAGCTACTTGTGCATAGAAGATAGGTCGTCGGGATAAATTTTGTTTTTTAATGTTATTGTACATGACATTAACTTTAATTTGACATATGTTTAAAGGACGCAGTATTTCCGGTACATTTTTAAAGGTTAAGTTGAAAAAATTAGTTTTTGTAAAAAAGTTGCTATTTTAAATCCCCCCTGTGAACAGAATAAGTGTTAGATTTTCAAAAAAAATGATATCAAATGAAAGGGAAATTATCTAAGGTTTCAATATAAAAAAATATTATTTTTATTTGTTAATATTTGAAAAAGTTATGGCAGTTTTAAGTACAAAAAACATCCCGATAAAAGGTGATTTTTAATGCAAACATTACATTATTTTTTTAATTTCGACAGCCATTTGCAAATAGGAGATAAGGTGTCGTGACAATTTTTTTTTTTTTCATTTTATAGTACATAAAATAAGCTTTAATTTGATATATGTTTAAAGGACGCAGTATTTCCGGAACATTTTCAAAAATTAAGTTGAAAAAGTTAGTTTTTGTAAAAAAGTTGCTATTTTAAATCCCCCACAATAAGCAGGTTAAGTGTTAGAATTTCAAAAAAATGATATCAAATAAAAGAAAAATATCTAACGTGTCAGTATAAAAAAAAATTATGTTGATTCGTCAATTTTTAAAAAAGTTATGGAAGTTTTAAGAAAAAAAAGTGAAAAAATGACAAAATTTACCGATTTTTAATTTTGTAAATTTTTTGAATATATCCCCCATTTGAGAGAACGAGGGAAAATTTTTCAATTTTTAAGGGCAATGTCTTCAACTAGATATGATTTGTGATCTTTTGACGTATTGTTGAAAGAAATCGGTCCAGTGAGAGCTGAGAAAAAGTGGCAACAGACATAAAAAAAAAAAAAAACACATCATGGTAAAATTAATACCTTCTCAGCTTCGCATCGAAACTAAAATAAAATTCAACCGAATGCAAAAAAAAAATAGTTTGTTAATACTTAATATTTTGTAATATTTATACAAAATTCTTTAGCTGTTTATATGAATAAATGTATTAAATTAAATTATAACTAGATTAAAAAGTGGGATTTTAAAATAAAATATTTAATGTCATAACTAAAAGAATTAATTCAAATATTGGATTTTGTGAGTAAATAAATATGAATATATAAAATAATTAATATTTGATAATTACTAAGATATTATTAACTGAAATTTACATAGCTAACTGCACTTAGCATTTAAAGTCACTTACTTTTTTTACCAAGGTTAGGTAATGTTGTTCGAATTTCTGTTGAGAAATTATTTTCCAACCGTTGAAGTTATCACTTATTTTATCTTGTGAAGTTATAATAACATAACTGTTCACCTTATTACCTAAAACTTTTAATATTTCTTGCACATAGCTTATATGACATATCATAATGTAACTTCCTACACTGTCAATCTTTGAATCATTTATAAAATATTCCCAATTCAACAAAGAAGTCTAAATAATTATATTTAGTATTGTTTATTTGGCTAAGTATCAGAAGAAATATTATTAATTCACCTCAATAGATATTTTCGAATCAAGTTTATTTTTTAAAGTTTTAGTACACGATTGTATGTAGGGATCATTATAGTTTTGTTGGAGTAACACTGTTACTTTGTGTCTATAATTGTTTTGTGTATACTTGGTAATATCAGTCACAATTTCCGTACAATGGTCAATGAAATTATTTACGTCCTTCATTGAAAAAAAATAAACAAAACTTATTGATATTCCTTACATATTTTTAAGCTATAATTTAAAATTACTTTTGTATTGCAACTAATATTTTTATTGAATATTTTTGTTTCTAATTTTAATGTAATTAAAGAATTTTTCTTAGATATTTCTAATTTTTTTTTTTCTATACCACTTATTTTGGTTCCTTTGCAAATTATTTCTTTTGTTGTGGTATTATAGTTAACTTGAACACCTTAAAATATAAAATAAAAAGTGAATACAAGAGAAATATATTTTGGACATTTTGCATACATTTCTCATTAAGATTGTCAAGAAATGTTGGGTCAATACATATTTGATGAATAGAGCTTAATGTATCAATTTGATTAGAACTCAAATCTTCTAATAATGGAATTTTTAATAAAGCGTCCAAAAAATAAAACCAATTTTTATTCCATTGTATATTTGCAATAATATTTTGATCAAAAAATTTCACTTGGTCTATTGTTTTAAAATTTTTCCCCAATTGATAGCCTTTATTTTCTAGTGCGTTATATAATTCTTCTCTTGTTAAATAGAAATTTGTATTTGTATTCTCAGAGTGTAAATGGCTAGTATCGTCACAAACAAATTGTGAGTAATCTTGTCTAACATGTTTTATCTCACCATCTAGAATAATTTTATCGTCTAGTGTAACTTCAAATTTTCCAGATTCTTGAATTAAATAATATAACTGCGATGAACCTATAAAAAGATATATTTTAATATAATTTTATTTATGATACATATTATCTATATAAACTTATTGGATGTATTAGCAATAATAGCTCTAAGGTAATATTGATTCTTTCACTTACTACTGTAATAAATTTTAATGTCATGAAAGACGTGTATATTTTGAAAAATAATTGGGTCATTTTTATGATCCTCATATATTATAATATATTTTTGCCAAATAACATGCTATAAAACATTATAATAACTTAATAAATTTTAAAAAATCATTTAAATATTACTATATAAGGAAAGATTACCAATATAAATGATGGAGGAACAACATGGTAACCATTAATTTTATGATCAAACAAAATTTCGTTTTCATATAAAGATAAAGTTTTATAATCTTCTCTTGACTAAATAAAAAAAAATATTCTTATATTTAATTATTATTACTAAAATATTGAATTAGCAATTTGCTTATAACAAACTGAATAACAACATTTACCTTAAATTTAAACTTGGTTAACGACCAAGTAACTGTATGATCCCATAGTGGTAATTTATTTAAAAATGGAGTTCCACGGCTGACTGGATAATCAATTGGAGGATAAATTGCTTGTACCATTGGATTTAACCCACAGACATACATTCTTTAAAAGACATATAAAAAAATTGTAATTAGTATTGTTATATATTATCAGATAATACTATTGTTGAGTGTAGCTGTTTTTTATTAAAAAAAATAATAATAACTTACTTTCCTAGAGCATTTAAAAAAAAAGGAATAGACTGACCAGGTGAATTTTTAGTCATTGGTATATTGGTGACTGTTTCAGGGAAAGAGCGTTTTAAAATCGCTTGAAGTAAACCGTGTGGAGCTATTTCAATTGCGATGGCATCTTTAGGAATATATCGAGTAGCCTCTTCGAATAAGACACTGCTAGAGTTATTATTTGCATGATATTCTGCTGACGAATATCGAGCCAAATCAGAATCCCATTCTGATTCTGGAACTGAACTACTAATCCACTTGGATGATCTCAGTTTTGGATTTTTAATGATCTATTATAATTTAATGTTACACGTGCTTATTTATTGCAAGAAATAATAATTGTTTTCCATACTTCTTTGAGATGACTCTCGATAAGTACAGCAACAGGTTTTATGTATCGACTATGGTATGCAATATTAGATACATTGACAGCTTTAGCAAATATTCCTTCTGATTTTAATTTTGCCACAAATTTTTCCACACTTTCAACGGGTCCGGATATAGTACAACTTGATGAACTATTATGACATGCAATGTCAATATCTTCCGGTACTATGTCTTTCATTTGAGCATAGCCGAGACCTACGAATCTATGAAGTTTATACAATGTTCACCCTTTTTATAATAATAATCAATATAACCTATTGCAGCCATCATGCCGGGTATCAAATCCAGTTCATTAGATGATGAACCGCGATAATAAGAAGCTAATATTGCTTCTTCAATCGTAAAACATCCATCAGCATATGCGCAAGCCACTTCTCCCATTGAATGTCCAACTATACCATCTGGTTCGATTTCTAATGCATACAATACATCGACTAGGCCAAGCTATAATTAATTTTATTAAAATATCGTTTCTTACGATAAATATTTAGTAAGAATACCTGTATTGCTGTAATTCCAACAAAAGAATGAAGTATGTTATCAAAAATTGTAGTGTCGAGATCTGTCAGAATTTTAAAGATGTCAATTTTTTTTTTCCGTAAAACTATATCACATTTTTTAATTGTTTCAGCGAAAATTGGTATTTTTAATAAATCTGTTCCCATTCCAGGCCATTGTGAACCCATGCCAGAAAATATATACCATACCGGACGCTTTTGTAATGTTACACTCTAAAATATAAAAATATGCCTATCAATTATATACAACAATAACTATATCAAATAAAATTTATATTATTAAATTTATATTTAATTCAGTATAGTGTATTATTTTTTTACCTGACAAGGTTCCATTTTGAAAGTAAGTGGTAATGGGTGGATAGTATAATTTCTATAAAAGTGACTATTAATATTTTTTGTAAAAATATCATGAGTTAATGCAACGTATTCATCGTTATCACCATGTTCCAAAATCTAAAAACAATAATTTACCTATATTAAATAATAGTTATCTGACAATAAAAAATTCGTTTTCATATTTATTATTAATTATTTAAATAATATAATAGATATATTAAGAATTGATTTTTTCTTCTAATTTTTGTAAACAACAAATTCATTCAAATATTTTTTCACGTAATGTGGTTACATTTTGCATTAGGAGATGTGTTTGCCATGCACATAAAGTTTGCATAACATTAAATTACTTAGACTTAAAATCAGAACAATTTTTATCTTACGTTAACTTTAAATGTAGTACGAATGTTTTTTTTTTATAAATCATTTAGCACATAGGATATGACTCAAATAAAAGTACAGGTTTTCTAATATTATAATTAAAAAATTATTTTAGTTTACCATTTTTAACCCTTCATTAACATTTTCTTCGGTTCTTCCTGATAGTACTATTAATTTGGGAATATCATTTTTAGTATTTGATACTTTTACTTTATCATTTTTTTTTAGTATAACGTGAGAAAAATTATTTGTAAATCCAAAACTAGTCACACCAATTACATCTCCAGATAAAGGTGTTATGTCGGTTACCACCTATATAAAAGATGCAATTTATTAAAAATGTTCTTAGTTGAATATAATGTTTTACTGAAACAATTAGCTATACAAAGTTTAACCTGCATTTGTCCAGTTTTAATTCCTGTAATATCTGTACGTGGCTCAAAATAATTAATATTTGGTGGTATGTAACCACTTTCAAAAGATATGATAGCTTTAGCGATGGATGTAAATAATCCACATTCCTCTGTGTGGCCAACGTTACTTTTCACTGATCCTATTAATAAAGGTTTTTTTCGCTGACTACTGCAAAAGACTTCCTCTATAACTTGTAATTCTAAACTGTCTTGTTCCTAAAATATATTAAACTTTACAATTATTTTCTGATGATTATATGAAATACATTTTTCAGTTTTGATTCTAAAAATGTCAATGAAAGTTCCGTTAATAATTCTATGTCTGTCCCATTTTTATAGAAACTTTTACCAAATCTTTTTATGATTTTGGAATTATTCTTAAATATATTTTAAGTTAATACTCAAAATATTATTGAATAAGAAGATAAATTAAGTTATAAGTAGGCTAATGTAGTTAAATCTCCTAATATAAAAAGTTCATACCAACGTATCTAGCAATTTTGACATTAGATAAACCTCATACGAAACTTACATAATTCCTCTAATACTATATTAATGTTTAAATAATAATTATTACATGCCAAAACAAAAGAAAAATTAATGACTTATTTTCTTTTTCCGTAGTGTTATTCATTTATAATTTGTTTAATTAAAATAATAATAATAATAAACCTTTATTCCAGACCCATGTGCCTCTAAATACTCAATACTTGTTGGATCAATATTTGCTTCTTGGTATGTATCTAATAATACTGATTTTAAAGTATCTTTTGAATGGTCAAATACCATATTTCTATGATCTCCTGAATGATATGATTTAACACTGACAATTGTACCGTATGAACGTTTTGCTTCAGAGGCTTTTTGCAAAAATAATACTACGCTTGATTCTGATCTATTATATCCATCAGCTGAAATTAATAAAAATATTGATATTTCATATAAAATTTTACATTAAAAATTAAAAAGAATATAGATTGTTTTCTCTATAATTATAATTAACATTAACAAACGAATCAAAAATTAAAAAAAATTTCCTCTTTCCCGTAAATGGGGGAAATCCCCCAAAAAATTACAAATTAAACAATTTTCGACATTTTTTCATTTATTTTTACTTAAAATTGCCATAACGTTTTTAAAAATAATAAAATCGATATCAACATATTTTTTTTTTGTAGATACATTAGGTATTTACCGATTATTTGATATATTTTTACGAATATTTGACCCTTAACCTGCCCACAGGAAAAGGTTTCAAAATTGTAACTTTTTCACAAAAAATTAACTTTTCCAACTTAACTTTTGAAAATATTCCTGAAAGACTGACATTTATATATATACCTTAAATTAAAGCTTATATAATATACTTTAATTTGAAAAATAAAATTTGACCTCTGGATTTGTCTTCATGGTGAAAATGACTACCGTTATTCAAAAATATGCTATTTTTGTGTTAAAATTCTGAGTTTTGTATTACATTTTATTTTAAAATACCTGACAAGGGGAGTACACTGATTTTTATAAATATTATATAAATCAAATTAATATAGCATATAAAGTTAAACTTATTTAAATTTTTTTGCTTCTTTTAAGTCGAGAAAATTAACTTTGAAATTTGAATTAGCTAAAATTGTCATTTTTTTCAGACAACGGAAGCGACATACGATTGCCAAATCGATATCACCTATGTCTTACGCGCTTGGAGTACAAAATTCCTAACCGCGTATGGCAAAGAAATTGTTTGCATTTTTTTCTTAATTCTTTTTAAGTTTGAATAAATTTTCAACTCCTTTGATTTTTATCTCATTTAGATTCAATAACTTCAATAAAGATAAAGGATCCCATCACTGTAGTCAGCCCTCGTGAGAAGAAATTTCTTATTCATATTAAAATTATTTTATTATATTTTAGCTTTTAGCTTTGATGTAAAGCTGAGAAGGTATTTTTTGTGACTATCATTTATTTTCTTTACTCTGATTTGACCTACTTTTTTCAACGTAACGTCAAATTATTACAATTACTTGAAGATATTACCCTCAAAAATTGAAAAAAATTTCTAATCTATTAATTAAACAGTTACTTGTCCCATAGATATCATCTATACATGTACCAACTATGCCACGTCCATACTGTGCCGCGACCCCACTGTCCTATCGTTTTTGTTATTAAAACGCAATTATGATTTCTTTTTGATGATTTTTATCATAAACCACTAAATTACTAACAGAAGAAAAATAATTTAAAAATATTTTTTTTTTATAATCATTACTTAAATATTATTTTTGAATTATTATCGACAGATGTGCTTTCTGTATCAGCGGTTAGTATATATATAAATGCTAATTCACAGCAATATGCCTTACTACCATACTTCAAGCATATCTGTTTTAGTCCATCTGTGGAAAAAGTCATAATTGACAATAAATACTACGAATCTGTGAATAGTGATTCCATGAAAAAGCGATTAGTTGCCTGTATTTGTAATCCCCTATGTATTATATATGCATATTAATTCATCAATTCAAAACTTTAAAATTGTATATATACAGGGTGAACAATAATCACTGACAACTTAAATAACTTTTGATCCAGTTAATATTTTTAGTTGTTTTTTTTTTTTTTTTAATAATAGTTATACATTAGGTCTAAAGCTATATCTCAATAATTAATTTTTTTACATTTTATTAAAAATATTAATTATTTTTAAATTTTAAATAAAATGTAAAAAAAAAATCTAAGATAGCTATTTTGTAGAGAAGAATTTAAGAAAAATTTTAGTAAAAAAATATCTTATTAATATTCAGTAGTAAATATTCTGTAGCGTTTTGAAGTTTGTGAAAATTTGAATTTTCATGTATTATTTTACGGTATTAAACATTGAAATACGTATTGAGAAAAGGACAGAAGAAAACGCTATCTTTTCATGATTACTGTGTATACATATGATGATAGTGTGTATACATTACAAACTTGGCATAAATACCATGATAAGAAATTAGATAAGGCAATTATTACTTATCACTCTCATTCAAAAGTATATTGAAAAGATAGCTACAAAATAGCTATCTTAGATTTTTTTTTACATTTTATTTAAAATTAAAAATAATTAATATTTTTAATAAAATGTAAAAAAATTAATTATTGAGATATAGCTATAGACCTAACGTATAACTATTATTTAAAAAAAAANTAATAAAATGTAAAAAAATTAATTATTGAGATATAGCTATAGACCTAACGTATAACTAGTATTTAAAAAAAAAATCAACTAAAAATATTAACTGGATCAAAAGTTATTTAAGTTGTCAGTGAGTGGTGGGCCACTCTGTATATTAAACGAATAAATTTATGTTAAAAATTCAAATACTATTTATTATTAAAATAAAATGTCAAACAATTATTAAATTTAAAATATGTGTTTCCATTTGAAAAATCTAAGTTTCAGCCTTGTAAGGCATAAAGGATGAACTTAAAAATTATTACATAGCTAACTAAAAAACAATATTTAACTAATGGATACAAAAAAATATATATATTTTTCAAAAGTATTTTCAATTTGTTAGCAATTGAGTGGTTTATCATAAAAAAAATCATTCAGTATATGGTATCGCAAGAATATTTTTTGTATTAGTGAAGAGTTATCCCCATGTGTCTCCCTCATTACTTAATTCATAATATACATTGATTAAGAAAAATAAACATGTATATTTATTTATCATTTATGGACTCGAGCTGATTTAAATAAATGTTATAAATGCATTAAGTCCCGAACCATATTTATAAATAATATTGAAAGAAAAAGTGAACTTATTATTATTAAGTTTCATAAAAGTAATTTATTTTACCATTAGCGCTAAAAGATTTTGTTTGATCAGAATTCGTAAGATAGTTTAGCCCTTTAAATTGTAGTGATATACCAGGTTCCAGAGTTAAATTTGTAGTTCCAACAATAGCTGCATTTATGTAACCGTTTTCAATTAAATTTTTAGCTACAACTAAAGAATCAGCTCCCGTAGACCATCCATTCATAGAAGAATAACTTGGACCTACAATTTTTATTTTTTAGAAAAATTAGTAAAGACGCAGTCAACTAAAGAAAAATTAAATATTCAATGAAAAAAATATTTATAAAATATTCTTAATTAAATATTAATAAAATATTTTGAAATTACGCAATAATTAGTATTTTATTAATTTGATTTTAAATTTACCCGATAAATTCAAACTATATGAAATCCTATTAGATTGCATAGTTTTTCCAACTCCTAACATGAATAGACCCGAAGATTTTGAATGAGCTACTACATTTTTTTCAGTTTCACTCATAAAACTTCCCATAAATACTCCTGTAGATGTGCCACTCAAATCATGTGGGTTAATTCCAGCATCAATAATAGCTTCGACAGTTCTTTCCCATGTAATTCTTAACACTGGATCAGTTACTTCCGAAAGTTTCGGATGTGATTTAAAAAATAGTCCGTCGAAAACTTCTACATTTTTTAATTTTGCACTAGCGAGTGGAAGATTTAAAATTCCTTTAAGTACACATAATAGTTAATATTCAACATTTTTCAACAATTAATAAAATTATTACCAGGACGCCATCGTCTAGAATCAATAGTTACACAATTAGTTTTATTAAACAACAAAGATTTAAATTCTTCTAAATTATCTGCTTCAGGAAACATTCCTCCGACACCGGATATCACAACTTCTTCTTTAATAGAAGTCATACTTGATTCAGTCAAGATTTATTTCAAGTCAAAGCTTGAAATAAAAAATAATAATCATTATAGGTTTTATATTATTGTACTGTTATAATTCTAATGCTTTGGGATTGGATTTGGTAATACATACAGGGTGTTCAGTAAGTCAGGAAACGGGTATTATATAAACCCGTTTCCTGACTTACTGAACACCCTGTATATATAATATATAGTATAATAAATATATTATATAAATATAATTGATACCAATTTATATTGAATGATTATTTTACTTTATAGTTTTGCCCTTATCGCATTTTTTTCAAATGTTACTTTGACTCTTCCAATTGTAGGTACTTTATTAATTTAAATCGAATTTTTATATAAAACAACAATTTAGATAACATTAAAAAAATGTATACGATAAAAAATACAGAATTTTATCAAAATGATTAATTTAGATAAAATGTAACAGTCAATATATACCTACCAATTTAAAGAATTTAATTGAAATTATATAATTATTATACACGATAATATGTGTATCACAAACCACTCAGTTACTCGTAAAATAAAAATAAATTTGATAAATATTTATTTGTACTTTTCAGTTAAATATAATCCTTGATTTGTCCATAATTAAGTGTTTTTTTTTATTCATCCCTTAAAAGAGAAGGGAATTTATTAATAATTTAAAATTATGACTAGTGGTGATGCTATTTTTGTTACTAAAAACTCCTCGTGTCAAGTATAAAAGTGTTAATAACTTATGAAATAATAATTAAAAAGTTGATGTCGACCAGTGATTTTTTTCATTACATCGTATATAATAACTTATGGAAAATTAATTAAATCTAAAACTAATCTAAACCATTTTTTATTAGAAATATTCAAAGTTTTAAAATATTTTTAACAATATAATATAAGTTATATATGTTTGCGTATTGTGTTTATATACAGAGTAATTAATTTTTGGCTGACCTCTAGGTTTCTCTAAAATAATAAGTATTTTGAAAAAATTTTTTTTTGTTTTGTTAAATAGTATGTATGTCTCGATTTATAAGTGATTAAATATTTTTAATATCTATCCCTTATAAGGATACCGATATTATTTTTTAATGGTAACATACATATTTTATTAACTTAAATGTTAGAAAATAATCCAACTAAAAAAATTTGAAACAGTAGTTTAGAAATTATGACTATTCTTATACTTCGGTAAAAGGTGTATCGCGATAGAGAAACATGTAATAATAAATATAATAAAACCCGCACTTCGTCATTTAAAAAGTCTAATTAAAAATGTTAACTACTTTCGAAATGATGATTAAAAAGTTGTTATCGGTCAATCGATTTTTTTAGTTAAATAATTTTATAATATTTAATTCACTAAAATACATATGGTACAATTTCAAAATAATATGTTAGTTCCCTTGTTAAGGATAAAGAATAGAACTATATAATATTTAACCACTTAAAAATCAAGAAATATATAACACCAACATAAAAAAATCTCCAATGTTATTATTATTTTAGTAAAATGTATTGGTCAACAATAAATCAATCATCTTGTATATTGTAATAAATTTTAAAACTGTACTTGGCAAGCAAACTTGTCAAATACTACATCGGAAAAAATGAACTAATAATATTTTGTTAAATGTAAATTACCCACTTGTGTTAGAACCTGAAATATGATGTACTTAAAAAAATTAAGTGAATAAATCAAATGAAATTTTATACCAATTATGACCACGATTGATTATTTACAAAATAATCACTTTTAATATTGACGTACCTTAATCGACTAATAACGTTTTACTTGTTGTAACTTAATTGATTATATGCACACCTGTTAATAATACTCATTGTTCATAGGTCATAAAAGGTAAAGTATAAATTTACTAAGCATTTGAAAAAAAAGTTGCTTTGCGGGGCATATGATAATTATAGAATATGCATTTTTTATATTTATGTAAATAACTGATGAATAAATGAACTTATAGATAAATAATTTATACATTTTCTTTACATGGTGAAAATGATGTCAATACATATTTTTATTGATTTTTATCAATTGATATTAAAAAACTTAATAAAAATATTATTAAATTGAAGTTTGATTAATTGGCGGCAGTAAAAAATGTATCAATTATTTTATTTCAAAGTCTTTACTTTCTCAATAATGATAAACAAAATATTAATCTTGTTTTAAATTTGATTAATTATAAAAATTTGATTAAAACTAAAAATGCTTTATTGTATCTCATTAATAATTTGAAACAAGTATAAATAATTTTTTATATAAATGAATTAAAAAAAACAACATAAAAATCAGTCAATGGATATTTTTTGTTAAAATGTACAACAAAAAATTACCAATTAATATCAACTTTTTTTCAACACTTACAGTATTATAAACTCATAGTAGTGTTTTCGAATAAGAAGTTTAAAATTATCTATAATTTTGGATAATTCTTTCTTATATTTTGTGATAAACTTTGTTTTTTATTTTTCATTATAGTTTATTAGGTTGTACTTTTGGCAGTTATAAGAACAGTGTTGAATTCAAAAAATTTTTATAGGGTAACTGTAATTGGTACAAGCAAAAAAAATAATTTTTTCCCATATTTTTATAAAATTATTACAAAAATAAAGGTAAAAAAAAATTATTTAAATTTTAAACTGAAAATTAAACGAGACGTCAACTCTCAAAAATAGGTATATTATCATCGACATTCTAAGATTACTAAGTGCTATCAAAGTACCATGGGGTCTGGAGCACCTTTCTCTTGAAATATACCAGAAATCAACAATGTATGAGAAAATTTCAATGAAATTTACTTATTAAAACCTTCAAAACTTTATAATTTAAGAAAATTGTACGAGCCTTAGAATATTAAATTATGAATGCATCAAAGCTTTTATGGATTTTTGTATTATTTAAAATATTTTCAGGTATATAATTTAATTTTAACAAATTTTTTTAATATTCTAGTAAAAACTAAAAAAATTGTGAAACAAAAATAATGTTAGTTTTAAAATTAGTTGTCCTAAAAAACACATTAGAATAAGGAAAATGTGCACATGACCAGTGTAAAAACATCGGCTATTTTTTTTTTTTTTCTAAAAGTCAATGTTTTTGACATATGACCTTTTATCGTTTAATAATATTTGTGATAAAATTGGTGCAACTGGATATGCATTAGAAAAAGTAAATAAAACATTATTAATATCTTAATAATCATTTATTTCAAATTATTCATTTATTTAAATTTGCTATCAATACAAATATTCTAAAAGTTGTAGTTCATAGATGAAAGTTAATTCATACAATTAAATGCATTCAATTATGTACAATAAATAAACAACACATCTTTAGATCAAATAGACAAATTAATTTATGAAATATTTATATTGTAATTAACTTAAACCTATATAAGTGGTAATTAATTATTCATTATTAAAAAAAATTATAATTTAATTTGATAATGAATTTATTAGCTCAACTCAGTTTAGTGAGTAATTAAATTAGCATAAAAAAAATAGTTTCACAACTTTTATGGGAAATATCCAAGGAGGGAGAGTAATTTTGAAAAAGATTTACATTCTGTCATTCTGTTTCCAGTTTGTCAAGTTAACTGTTTTTTAGTAACATACAGTGTGTGTCAATAAGTTGGAAAACGCCTGTTTTATATAGCCGTTTTTGATTTTTTAAATATTTTTGAATTTTTTTATAGGGGTTAATTGATTACTTAAATGACTCATTTACGATTAAAACAATAATACAGGATATTTCTTTTAACGCTAGCCACTAGATTTCTTTTAAAATAATGATTTTTTTAAAATGTTATTTGGATTTTATTAGTTACATATTTATAGCCTACATAATACCTTGGTCAATTATTGGTTTTTCAATAAAGTATGCAGTCGGTAAAGTATTGTCTAAAGTATTATTAATAAATATATCGCGATCATCTAATTTTCAAAGTCATTCCAATATAACTTTATATAACTAAAAATATCAACATTCACTATTTTATTACAATTGAAATTTTTTAATACATTTCTCTTTATTACTGGCATTGAGGTGAATTTTTCAAAACTATGGCGCTGATAGCTTCAATTAAATATATTTTATGATCTTTAAACGTATCGTTTAGTAAAATCGTGGCCAGTAATAAAAAAACAAATACACGTCAGAGTAAAACTAGTAACTTTAGCTGCACAAGTAAGTTAAAAAATTATTTAAATGTTGAAATATATGTTTTAAACAAACATGTGGATGTGAACAAAATCCACATTTTTGGCGAATTTGAACGTATTTTAGTTCTCATAATTAACAATAATATATTGATTTATATGAAATATTGATGAATAGCATAAAGAAATTCTACAAAAAATAAGCAAATAATAAAATATATCTGTTATCAAAAAGGTACTATATGAGCTCTCTAGCTTGCACAATCGAATGTTGATTTAATCACTGGGACTACTAAAAATTATCTAAATATAACGAAAAATCATCCAACATCTTGTTAGCGATTTTCAATTGGCCATCGACATTATCAAATAAATTGAACCGTATGTTTTCTAAAGATAATTTCATTAGTTTTTGGTACAAAAATTTTAACTTTTACTTGAAACTGTACCTTCAAGTTTTAAGATGCGGTGTTCATGCCATGACAGTTACGGTCGTATTGCCTGATAATTTTTTTCAGTAATAAATGTTTCAAGGTATTATTTTATAAAACCTTTTAGTTTGCCTAAACACATAGGCTGATCACTGATGTCGGGAAGGGTCGTTTTTGTCGGAATGACAATCCCATTTATTAACTCCAATATAAATAACACTAAACTTTTTATTTAAAAAAAATTTAGATGTATTAATAAGTTCAGTCGAGTTGGAAACTGATGTTTCAATTGCATTTTGAATTTGGTGAACTAGTAAAAAATTCTACATCTATGCTGTATACATCTAGTTGCTTACGGTCTTTGACCCTTGTTAATATCATTAATTTTTGACAATGTTTCGGCACAAGGCCTATGAATTATACATTAATAAATAATACATAAATTTTGTAGTTATCTCCTATATATTAAATCGGAAATGAAATGAAATAAGTCAGGAAGGCCGGATCGTAGGCTAGAAAATTCCTTCCCGAACACTGCTAAACAATACACATTGGATTTATTATTTTTTCGCAATATTTTCACAAAATCTAGTGCGAAAAAATGGTTTTAGCTATGCTAGCTAGTACTAATACTAATTCAATACAACGAAATATTTTAGGTAAAAATGTGGCACCCTCTAGCGGTGGATAGTTACAATATTCAATCGGTAACCGATAGTAACTACCAGTGTTTGTATGTGATAAGAAATTACTCCAAAGGGAATTACTTACTTCAAGTCATTTTCATTTTTGTATATATAAAGAAGTATAGTCGATGAATCGCATTTATGAAAGTAGTGACTAATTTTTAATTGACATAATTAAAGAAGATCTAGAATATCATTGACAATTATTTCTACTATAAAGTTTTAAGTAATTAATTACATCATATCAGTATGTATATCAAATAATATTGTTATAAGTTATAACTTCAAAAAAAAAATCAATTTTATTAGAAATGAAGTATAAATAATGACAATTAAAAAATGATAAACAATAATAAATTAACCTTATATATATATATATATTATATAACCTTATATATAATAGTTTTACCTAACAATGGTTTAAAGGATATTATTTTTCTATGATTCCTATGAAAGACCAGTTTTTCTTTAATTTAAACACATTACATTTAAAGTATAAAATAACTATACATTATTAAATTTTTATATATTTCTTATTTCAATTTAAGCATAGTTATTAAAATGTTTTACACCGAACAGTCATAAAATTATAAAATCAAATCAAAGAAAATATGCATCAGATCTATGATTAATATTTCTAACAATGTAAATAATAATAGATAGCTGTAAATTTTTAATTATTATGTGTTACAATTAAATAATTATTTTTTTTTAAATATTTGTCATTAAATAGACTATTTTAACAAATACTATTATATTCAAAATATTATTTTATGTTATGTTTAAGTACTATCTTTTATACTTATAAAAATATTTATTAGATTATGGCTGCTACTAGAGAACGTCGAGCTAATGCAGGTAATAAATTAGCACGTTTGTTAGATGAGGAAGAAGAAGATGATTTCTATAAAACTACATATGGAGGCTTTGAAGAAGAGGAGCAAGATAACGATTTTCAATTTGTAGACGATGATGCTCCTGATGAAGTTGATTCGGACTTTAGTATTGATGAAAATGATGAAGTAATATCTGATAATGAAGATGATGAAAAGCCTCAAAAAAAAATTAACAGGTTAATTATAAATTCAAGCAAGGATGGGCATTAATTTGTTCATTTTATAGAATTATAATTGTGTAAAAATTACAATGTGTTACAATTAATGTAATAATAATGAAAAATATTTTCAAATATTATTTTAACACTATAATATAAAATATGAAGATTACAGTCCATTTTGATACTTAGGATAGTAATTTATAAATTAGTTTTTAGTATAATATACCATTTCCAAAATTAACTTATCTTAATAAGTTACAAAAAAACGTGTTAAATTACCCATCTTTGTATTCATAGACTGTATAATTATTTGTTTTTATGTATTAAATCAAGGAATAACACTTATTAATTATACAATCTAGTGACTAGACTGTATCAGTGATTTATTCAATTTCATAGAGGATGTAACATGCCCTATGCAAATAAAAAAAAAATATTTATTATTAGTAATTATTTTTATTATGTGGTGTTTTGACCTCCCTTGAACACACTCTCAAACTGTATCCTGTGCAATAATTGGGTGAATTTATGGTATTGTAACCTATTAATAAATTTCCCTAAAGAATTTCAATATAATTTATTTATAACTTACTTAATATATTTTTATTAAGTGACTTTTAAATTAGTTAATTTGATTAATTGGAGGGTATTAGAAAATTGACATCATTTTTCTACTAATAATTAACGTACTAATAAGATAAGGTATATTGTTAACTATATTTTCTCATAGTTTAAAATCATAACTTTATTTCTCAAAAATTATTAAATTGAAAAATGGTAGGTATTTAATAAAATTAATTTTTCATGTTAAATAATGAATTGCATTTGGTTTATCATAAAAAATATTTATAATAAATAAATCAAGTCACATTTTTTGTTTAATGAAAAAAGTTCATTTGATTTTATTAAAAAATATATACAAGGTGTTCAGTAAGTCAGGAAACGGAAAATTGTTTGTAACAATGAGAACAATAGAAACCCGTTTCCTGACTTACTGAACACCCTGTATATACTATTTTTAGTATTGTAAATTAGAATTGAATGTTTATTATTAATAAAATTGAAGTCATAATGAAATTGTGTATTTTGAAAGTACATTTTTCTAATAGTGCCCTTGATAATGTTATTTCATGATCCTAAAATATTTTTTGACTTTAAATTCATATTTAAAATTATGTAAGTTATATTTGTATTTCAATTGCTTTCTATGAAAATTTCTAAATAAATGTGAACAATTAATGAAAAATATAATTTTTTTAATTGATTACTTCATGACACAATTGTTTATTTCAAAGTTATTTATTAAACTAAGTTTAATCAGAGTATTTAAATTAAAATATTATTTATTAGTAAAAGAAATAACATCAACTATCCTATCATTTACAGATACCAAGAGCCAAAAGCTCCCAAACCAGTTCTGCCAAAAGAGTCTTTGAAAAGGAAACGTTCTCGAACTGAAAAAGTTGCTGAAACCTCTTATGAACGTAAATCTATAAGACAATCTACTGCAGTGAAGTCTAAAGAAACTATAGAACGTATAAAAGAACGACGGCGTAAGAAAAAACGTGCAAAACCACCAACCCAAGAAGAAATGCCTACTCAACAAGAGTTGTTAGAAGAAGCTAAAGAAACTGAGTTGGAAAATTTAAAATCTCTAGAAAAGTTTGAAAAATTAGAGTTAGCTAAAAAACAAACACGTGTAAAACAACATGTATTTTACACGGCTACTATTAAGTTTCGAAGCAGAGCAGTTCCTGCTCAAATTTTAGATGAAGAAACAATTAATATTGAGACTGATGATCAAGATGTGAAACGAGATAATCGAGATTATGTTGAATGTACTACACTTACGGTTAATGATTATGAAGAGGCTAAACGTTTATTTCCAACTAAATTGTCTGTACCTCCAAAACCACATAGAAAATGTTTATTCACGGGAGATTATGCTAGATATGTTGATCCTCTAACGGGACATCCTTACAAAAATCAAAAAATATTTTCTATTTTGAGATCTGTGTACTCTATTCATTTAGATGAGGTACTTAATCAAAATCAAACTTAAATATTTATACTATTAACTTTTAATTTTATGATAAAAAATGATTTGTTATCTATTTTGTAAGGAATATTTACATGAAAAATTCTTCCTAAATATTGTAATTAAAATTTTTTAGTTGTACATATTTTTTTTGTTCTTAATGTTATTACAATTATGAATAAATATTGTAAATAAAAACTCAAATTTTTCAATAAGAACTCTAATTATATTTTTTAAACAAAATATTTATTAATACTTTATAAAATGTATAACATTTTTACAAAAAAATAATAATGATAAAAGTAATAAAACAATTCAATTTAAAGGCCAAATTTTAATAAAAGAATAACAAATGATTATTATTTTTTTTTTTTTCTAATGTTGGATAACAGAAAATTTATTTTAATCCCTTTTTTCTGACCTATAATTGAGAGTAAATATATCCCAAATACCTTAAATTTGTTTAAAGTACATATTACTAATTTAACATATAAAAAACATATATTAGTATAAGTAAAGCAATATTTTCATAGAATAATAGCATAAATATAATAAGTGCTAAAATATTTTGCAAAATTAATTATAATATGCTTGAATGAAATAGAGTATGTAGTAAAAATAAAAAATAATAATGAAATAAAATAAAATATGTAATAATTATGAATTTCGGTTATCTGATAAAAATAAATACCACTATATTCACATACATATTTTTAATGTTAATAACTTGTCTACTAAGAATTTCCAAATGAATGGATAATTTTTACAATAGCTATAAATAATATTAAAGTAATATGATATGTTAGGAGATTTTAATGTTGTTCCAAAAGAAAAATTTGATAGTTTACTGTTTTGTATTTTGACGATCTGTTAAAAAAATTATATAAAGTATTTTTAACTATTATTTATTATAAAAAAAAGAAAATAATTTACAATTTCTCATACTATATCTCTTAATCTGAATCAGCTATATATAATATAATTGAAACATTTTTATTTTAGATGAATATTAAACGATTTTATTATTACAAATGATTTCTACTAAATAAAATTCAGATAATCTATATTTTATTGGACGGACTCTATGTTAATTGTAATAATAAAATAAGTGGTGCTTGGTAGGGCGCAGTGAATACATCAATTGTTAACATACAACTAGTGCTGATTTTGAAACAAGAACAAACAACAGAAGCACAAATACTATGCCCCAAAAACAGACACTATAAGAAAATTATTGTACTTAATTATCCTTTGTATACGCTAGTCTAATGTGTGAACTGACTGATATTAACCATCTTCAATTCTAGAAATTGATTTCTAGCAAGATAATAAATTTTAAGTTTTATAAAAAAAATAATTTGTTAAAATATTAATAGATTTTATAAAAACTCGATTCGAAAAAGTAATATTACAAATAAGATATTAAAAATATTTTGAAACATTAAAAATTGTTTAAAGAAATATTGTTCAATAGCCCTAACAAAAATATTTTGCTTAGTTTATTTACACTACAATTGAGCAAAATTCGGCTGTGTATAATTCTATACGTTGTATATTATTTTTTTACAACATTATTTAATGTTACCTATGTATATAATTACATAATTATTTATACTAAAATTATTTTTAATTTTATGTTTGTTTATTTACACTATTTGATAGTTATAATAATAAATTTTAAATTATCTTTGGAGCTGATCGATCATTAGTGCTTGTTTTCCGTAATTTGATTGTTGCAAACACATTTGATCTGTAAATATTAAAGAAATATAAAAATTTCTTATTTTATAAATAAAATAATTTTAATAGTAGCTATGGAAAATAAAAATATGATAGGATAAAGTATACTAATTCATATTGTTTTTTAAAAGATTGTATTGTAGATACTGTAATAATGAAAAACATTTTTCTTATTACTCTCTTTCATTAATATATTTTGGGCGCGCTACTATAGTTGTGTAAAGAAATTAGTCTCGTAAATAAAAATAGCAATGAATACTAAAATAAAAATATGTATTATGTATTCTATTCTCATTTTGTGTTTGTAAATGAGAAAAAACAAATACCAATTTAAAGTAAAATTTCAATAGAGTTTTTCTTTTTTAATTTTTTAAACTTGAGATTTAGAAAATAACAAACTTAAAATAACTTTTTCTTCTTCTTCTTTTTCTTCGCCTTAATTCCAACTACTTGGAGTCGGCCACCCTTGTCCTAAACTTCCACTTGACACAATCTACCACATCATCTACAATTATATCAGCTGTCCTCATATCGCATTCAATAACATACCTCCATCTCTTTTTTGTTCTCCCTCTACCTCTTCTTCCTTCAACATTCATTTCTATAACTGTTCTTACATCTTCCGATTCTTCTCTCCTCATAATATGACCAAACCATCTAAGTCTATGTTGTCTCATCTTATCCACGATTGACGCTAAACCCGTACTCCCTCTTATATGCTTATTCCTTATCCTATGTTCCCTAGTCATTTCACTCATCTATCTAAGCATTCTTATCTCTGCTTCACTCATTCTCTACTGTACTTTATTGTTAACTGCCCAACACTTTGAACCATACATCATAGTTTGTCTCATTACAGTATTGTAGAATTTACCTTTCAGCCTCATTGGAATTATTTTATCGCATAAGACACCAGATACTTCTCTCCACTTCAACCACCCGCACTTAATCCTCGTCAATACCACAGCTCTTTTGCACAACTGATCCTAAATACTTAAAACTTTCCACCTCTCAAACAAACTTAAAATAACAAATTAAAAATCATTTTTAAATTTGAAATTTAAACATTGAGACAATAATCTTTAATTTTTATTCGGGAGTTGATTTTAAACAAATATAGTCACCATATATTCCAATACATTTAGCACTAATATCATACCTCTTTAAACAATTCACTTTTTGCGCTTTTCTCCCCAAGAATCATACCAACCGTCTGTGCTGACCTTAGAGTTATTATTGTTGTTGATATATTTGAATGTTTGTAATTTAGAACTTTCAAATCTAACATCTACATCTGATTCTTTGAATACGTCATCAGCTGGAGGGTGTATTGGTACTTTATTAGTAATATGCTGTGATTGCTGTTTTATCAATCTAGTCCTCGGAAGAAGACTTTGTGGAGCCGGTGGTGAATTTTTCAAGTGGTCATCAACCACAATGCATGACTCAGAATCTTCAGCTTCGCTAGATGACCCATTTTCATCATCATCGGAAGCACTACGACGATGATTGTTACTTCCACCGAATCTTTGCTGAAGACGTTGATGATGACCATGTCTCTGGATATTTCCGCCAATATGCGATCTTTTTTGAATAGTTGATGAGCCATTGATTATAGTCTGATTATCATCATCGTCATTGGCGAACCCATTGCTACTACCTATGTCTATCTCTCTGGTAAAAGCAAATTTCTTGTTGGTCATTGGAGTTCCTCCTCCATTTTTGTGCTGCTGTTGTCGTTGTTCGTTAATGTCAGTAGAATTCAAATCCACCAAAGATCTATGTTTCCACATAGACATTCCCATTAATACATCATCACTTGACTTTTTAAACTTCCACATCGACTTTGATCGTTTTACTTTTTTATCTTGAAAAATTCCGTTCTCTATTGAATTTTTTCGTTCATTAGACATTGATCGATTTGGATAACCATTTTCAAATGCAGACAAATGTCCTACACTGGAGCTCTGACGCATAGAAGGACCAGTGTTTCGCCGAGAATTTGTATTCATACCCCCATTATTATATGAAGACTTCAATGTTCCTTCCATGGATACGTTAGATTTCATCGACTCGGCTGATTTTATTTTTTTATCTTTTATCATTTCTTTTGGTCTGAGTAAAAAGAAAATATTGAATAATGTCGGTATTAATATTAATGAACCAATAACATGATTTTCACATCCCATCACCTTATTACATGTAGATAGGCATTACAAAAAATATCCAACACCAGTTTATAACACTCCAATTTACAATATAATACGCCAATATTAACATCAATTTTAAATTGATCACAAACATATTTTCATTCTGTATATAGTGTTATATCTTTAACTTTTTACACATACATACTATTTTGCTGAATATATCTTTCGTTAACCAATAATGTTAAAATGTGTAAAAAATTTCTGTAGATTATAAATAAAAAATTTAATTGTGAATTCCAAATTCAGCAAGCAATTAAATATTAAGCATACATTCTCATTATAGCGAAAAAATTATAAAAGCAAAGGAAAAATTACATAGAAATTAGCATAGTGTATGATGTTAAATTTTTATAAATAGTTCTAATAATTTTTTTTATATGGAAAACAATTTTAATTCATCACCATATAAAGTATATATATATAATTTTTTAATAATGAGCTTAGGATATATTTAAATGCATAAATTAATTTTCATGTTTTCTACCTAGAATTTTCATCGTCTGAATAGTCAATCTCAGGTGCTGGCGGTGGATCATTACTGAAGCCACTGTCATTACTGCTGTGTAAACTGGCATTGCCATGCACGCCAGTGACTGTACCTCCATGAATGCTTAAGCGTTTATCGTTAATACTGTGACCAATTTTTCCCGGCGGCGGTGGTAAATTTTGAGGTGGTGGAGGGGGAAAGAATGCAGTGGGGGGTGGGACATGTCCATTATACTGACGCGGTGCCATTGGTGCTGGTATGGAAGGTGGAGAACTTAGATTTCCATATCCATTTGATCTTCCGTCTCCTCTTGGACGGGTCTAAAATTAAAAATTGTTGCATTTTAAATCAATTATTAGTTGTAATGCATGCATGTGTATAAAAATATTTAAATGAAGAAGAGCGTATTAAAAAGCAGATAATGCTATTTTAAAACCCATACTTTTTACAGGTAAAATTTATTATAGTGAAGTTGTTTGTTGGTGAGCTACATACCGGATACATATTTCGATGAGGTAATGAATCGCCAAATCTTGTTAAAGTCGCTGATTGAAAACGATTCTGTTTACTAACTGTGACAGAATCGCTTCTGTTATGAGTTGATATGATTGATTGTCCTATAGAATCCTTTCTTCTGTAAGATGATGGTGAATCCCTACAAAATGAAAATACAAATTAATGATAAAGCTCAATGTAGTTTATAAGAAATAAGAATATATTTTATTAAATAATTTTCATCTAAATTTTAGCAATATTTTAAAATCTATATCAATAAATATAACTGAACTATATTCATATAAAATCAAAATTAAAACTTTCATAATACAGTATTTTAATAATTTACATACGAAAATACAGAATCATCTAAGACTGGTTCGGTGTAAGCTAATGGGAACCAACCGCTACATTGCGTACGTAAATTTTCTCCATATTGCCATCCTTTATTTCGTTCGCCTAATTCACATTAAGTAAAAATATTTAAGTTGTATTAAATGGATTGACGACTACTATTCTAGAAATTTTTTAATAACCTGTAACTGCGATTGTGTCCCCTTCATGAAAACTTAATTGATTTTCACCACTTGACAAGTATGCATAGATGGCCTGGACAAGATTTGGTCCCTGTGATTCCCATCCGTTATCCACTATTGCCATTGACTTTGGTCTAGATCCATTATTTTTTGGACTCGAATCATTTTCAACTAAAAATTCAATTACATCTCATAAGTTATACAAAAACTATTATAAATATTTATTCTAATAAATCATATCAAACATTGTGTTAATTTATCGCGTAAAAATGTATTAAAGATTATTTAATTAACCTATTTTCTTTACTATTTTTTAACCGTAAAAAAATTAACTTTTGACCACACTCCAGAAAATCACCAACAAATAAAGAACACTAAAATTAAATTAATCATTCTGGCAAATAGAGAGTTAAGCTAAGTAATTTAATAAAGAATAACCTCTATTCAAGGATTGTGAAGAAGCGTTCAAATTGAAGTCTGATTTTGCTCTAGACAGTGGATAATTCAAAACTGGACTTGAAATATCCATCATAGCACGGACATCTAAACAAGATGCATCCATAGACTTTGTTTTTCTTAGCTGTGATGATAAAGAAATTCTGTCATCGTCAATTCTCGGAGAATTAACATTGTCGTCGTCCAACCAAAAACTTACTTGCTACAATTCGCAAGCAATATTTAGTAAAATTATTAATACAAATAAATAAATTAATACTTTTACTTACTCTAAGTTTAGCTGCAAACATGGATTCAACTGCTTCTGGAAGTCTCTCTCTCGATTTTGCCACATCTAACCAATCGTTTAAATGTTCATCATACATGGTTTGGCTGTTTGTATGATAAGCTAAATAATGTTTTACCAATGAACACTGACGTTCTAAAACAAAGCCATATCTTCGTCTTTCTTGTGTCATCGCCTAAAATCAGTATAAAATGGCAATTAGTAATTAATAAATGTTGTAAATAGCATAAACAGTTGATATATTGAAAATTACATTTTTTAGGCTCTGTTCACAAAAGTTATCCAATTTTGATTTCTCCTCTTCAAGAACTTGCATAGTCTAAAAAATATATATTGATTTAATTAATTATATTTTTTAGTCTGTGTAATGCAAATCTAGTATATGTGTCACATAGGTTGCAAAAATAAAAATGTACTTTATTTTATTTATGCAAATTGTAAAAAGAACACAAAAATCGTTTCTCACGTTTCAGCCTAGTGATGTTATTACTAAAAAAGAGTAGCCCTTTATTTTTATACATGAAACAATGACTGTCTTCAATGGGCTAACAGTAATTTTTATCCCTTGACACATTTGGGCTTTATAGTGCCAAACAAATAAAAAACTCAACAATAAACCATTTGAATAATCATAGTTGATTCCACCAATGCGTCTGGGTTAGCAGTTTTATGAATTCTAAATGTAAATTAAAAACCAACTTGCTCCCTCGAAGTTTGCAAGTCTATATGACACTCAGAGCACTCATTTCATTGTATTTATCGCCATTATTGTTCCAAACCGTTTGGTTAAGCAAGCGATGTTGTTCTCTTATATAGGTATATATATATATATATATCGTTTTAGTAATATTTACCCACAAATAATTTATTTTTTAACGAGTGGAACGAAATAAAAGTGAATATATAAAATTCAGTGATGAATATTTAAGTTAATAGGTAGTTTTCAAAGAATAAAATGTTATATATGAACGAAGGATATGTTTAATAGAGAAACACAAATAAAACTTACTTTTATTTCTTTTTCCATTGCTAAACCAGCTTTTGGACCAACCTTATACTTTTTGCGACATTTTTTCATGGCCGAAGCTGCTTTACTATAACTTTCGGACCTTTGTTTATGTTGCTGTAGAAAACGCTTTTGTTCTGACTGAAAAATTTAATTAAATCGTTTTATGACATTTTGTTGTAATATATTTATCAGATCAGGATTTAAATCGGTACTCAGGGGTTAATCAAGGCACACCGGTAAAGCATTGACCAAAAGGGTTAGAAATATTATTTATAGGACATTTTATTCCAATGCCCGCGGTAATAATAAAGTCATTCATAACAATGCAGTAATATGAATTTGGTAGTTTTTAAAATATTAGATCAGTGAACTTTTCTATTTTGCATAAATGAAGATTTGCTTTAATACAATTGTCCATTTGTTAAAAATAAAAAAGTGTTATTTTGAAAAGATGAAGTAAGTATTAAAAACTTGTGAATAAATTAGTTTTGTATTTTTTTACCTGGACTACTTTTGTATCCTTTTCCAGATTTGTCTCTAACGGCACCAATAAATCCACATAAAAAGCTTTCAACTAATAAAACATAAATGTCAAATTTTTTTAAGAGATTCAATATATATATTGTTTAAATATAAAATTTAATTGTTTATTTTTAATTGCTTAAAAACATATATTTTTTGAACATATTTATATATAGTAATATTTATATAAGTCTTTATTTGGCCTCAAGTTGTTAATTTGATGATTAACATTTTCGTTTCACATTTTTTGAAAAAATAAAAACATATTTTTAGTTACCTGAATAAATTTATTGTCAACTATAATTAATGTTAAATTAATATCCAGCTTTAAAATTTCTAAATGTTATCTTAACGGTACCATAATATTGCAGTGATTTTTCGGAAGGGTTATTACGATTATCGTGGTATAGATCAAATAAGACGTTCAAAAGGGGAAAAGCTAATAACGAATGTCATACGAGGCTGAAAATATAAATATAGTGATGGCTTAGCGATGGACTGAGTATAACCATATTAATTTAAGTATGACGATTCTCGAGTCTTTTTCTCACAGAAATTGAGAGAAGTAGAAAAAAACTTTTTTCCAATCCAATCGTAACTCTCAATCTGTTACCGGGAATGTGTTTTCCTCATTTTAAAGCTTAAGATTTTCCCACTATTATCCCACTATAATCTTTAATAAATTTGTTATATATGTCTTCTTGTAAATCTTCTCCACAAAATAACCGTTATAATGGTAATAATAATAAACGTGCACCGCATTGTTTATAAAGTCTTCAAAACAATTTATTATTTTTTATTGTTCAATAATACATAGATAACCAATGTTCTTCAAAAGTGACATTAAAACAAAAACTCATCAAAAAATAATCTATAAAGTATAGCTCAAAGTTTGTTCATGCAATATAAGTTTGAAGCAGACAATTTTTGTCTACAACTCTAATTCGACTTATCATAATGAATTTTTAGTACAGACGAAGAAAACAACTAATTACAGTATACACATAAAAAATATACCTCGATCAAATGTCCTACTACTTTTCAAAGAAATAGGCGTGAACTTCTAAACGAATTTTGATGTGTACAGGACTTAAAGATTGGAAAAGTTACACGAATGAGTTTGCAATATGATGTATAGATATGGTCCCGTATGTTCTCACAAATCGTATAACTTTTGACACAGTGACTATTTTGCAGTACTTTTTTAAAAAATAACGTTTATTTTTTAGGATTACAATAATAATATAAATTGTAATACTTTTAAAAATGTATTTAAAAAGTACAAATTTTAAAAATTTAAGAAAACTGTTGAAATTTAAGATAACCATTTTATTGTAAAGATTTTAAGGGAAAATTTAGTATCGAAATTTCTTATCAATATATTTCTAATAAAATTTGTAAATTATTTTAAAGTTTGTGAACATTTGAATTCTTACACATATTTTACATATTCATTACACGATATTAAACGTTGGTATTTGTTTTTAAGAAAATATAGAAGATACAATTTGTCGACAACACTAGATACTCGTTATAAACATATTTGTTTCCATGAAAATTATCATGACTTTAAATTAAAAAAAAAACCCATCACAATCGGGTTTCGGTATAGTTTAAATCGGTCAAGTGTAGATGATATTTGACATAATCTAATTTTCTTATTAATAACACGTTTAATGATTATTAAGTATAAAAAATGAATAAATATTTATTATAGTAATTAAATTTAAAATGAAATTGATATTCAATAACTTATTACTGTAGTTTTAACGGGAAAATTATAAAAAATTATAAAATAGTTCTATATTTCGTCACCTCTATGACAAATGTGTAATATCAATATTGTAAGTATGGATTTATAAAAAAAAAATTAACTTTCGTAATTCGATTATTCTATAGTTCTTTAGTTAATTATCACTTTAGTTATATTTAAAAAAAAAATTGTTTTGATTTTATTACCTTTCAAAAAATTATACAGTTTTAAGTAAAATTAGTTTAAAAACTGTTGAAAATCACCGATTTTCAAATTGGTAATTTTTCAGATGATTTCCTTTTAAGGAGAACGAGGGAAAATTGTTCAATATTTAAGAATAATAACTTCAACTAGATACGTTTTTTAAATATGTTTACGTATTGTTGAATCGGCCCAGTAAGAGCTGAGAAAAAGTTGTAATAGACACAAAATAATAAACATGTCATTAAATTTTATAATTACTTACAATATTCAACTGTTGAGACTGAATTTCTTTGTAGACTTCAACTATTTGCGTGAGAGCTGATCCTGAAAAAAAAAAATTAAAAAATTAAATAATGAATTCTATATTGGTAAAATTAAAATAATCTTTCATGTAAAATTTTTGTTTTTGACGATTTAGTGAAAACAAATATATTCAGCTATTTATAAAACCAGAGCACAATAATATAATTTGTGAACACTTAATTTGAGCTCGAAAAATGTAACGTGCATTTTTTCCAACCAATTGTTTCAATTATATATAATTATTTATACTGATGTTAATGTTAATGGAAAATAAAACTAAAGAAATAGTTAATATGCATTAACACTACAAGTTTCCTGAGTACATTCGTTATTTAAAACGGATTAAGTTCTATTAGGAAAACGTTTCGATCGGAAGTAGAAAATGTGATTATTTTTTATACAGTAAAAGCCAATTATTTATTATTACATGTTATAGTATATATAATGTTCAGTAAGTAAGGAAACGGGTTTCTATTGTTCACATTGTAACAATTAATGCGTGTCCTGACTTTTTTAAAACCCTGTATAGTTACGATTAATCCAAAGAAAAGTTATTAATTTTATATAATAACTAATAAAAAATTTGCATAAAAAAAGAAATCAGAATGTTGGATTTTAATTTTATTATAATTTTAGAACATAACTTTTACATTATTTATCGAGTTTATGAATTTTTCACTTGTATTATGTCATATTATTAATCTCCAAAACAACACCAAGTAAGATTTATCGAATAAAATAAAATATTTTGTTGGACGTATTTTTTAAGAAGTGACAAGACAGATTTCACTATACTCGCTGTTTTACCGTTAAATAATAGTGCATATAAATATATAATAAATCATTAAGCGCGCGTTTCTTGATTTGTTAATAAAATTTTAAACTGCGCCATTTATATATAAACATACTGAAAATTAGAATCTTGTCAATATTTAAATTATAGAAATCGCATAAACATACAAACACTACGATAATAGTGTTCGCTTCTAATTAGATAACTATGTACGCCTTTATCGGGACTACTGTAGAATTCAGCTCGAACACCGTGCGAACATAACTATTACAAATGAACTTCTCCGGGTAAAAAATAAAATCACGACATTTACAGTTTATTTTAGTTTTCCATATGTTTGATAATCGATGTGAAGTATTAAAGTTTGAAGTAAATCTATTTAGGAGCGACAGTAGATTGCGCTACCAGCACTTATTTTATATTAACCGAAAATCTGTTGCTAAGGTTTATTTCGTCGTTGTTACACTGTGTTTTTCGGTTAAAAAAATGTGTTTGGATCGTCTCGATTTTGTCCTCAATGTTAGTGCGCTTAAATGTGTTTATCTGCCCCAAAAGGATTCACGCACACGAACGACGATTGAAAATACAGGTCAGACAAATGTCCGCCCGGCAGTCGGGCGAATAAAGTGATTTGTCCGATTTAAACGGACAACATAACTCAAACCGAACAGACCACAACAGACACCTCGTCCAAGCATTTGTTGGCACGTCGTTCTCTCTCCCGCGCACTTTGCCCTAATGAAACTAGTAGTGTAACGTCACAAAATGCGTTTACAAGTTATTGTTATCATTTCACTCTGACCGCGGCCTCCGCATTAGCACTGAGATTCAAATCGTTCAGCTGATGACCCGCACACGGTATTCGACGTGGTCCATTCGTCTTTCCAGTGCCATTTTTGGCAGACGTCCCTCGAATCCAGTGGCCTTATAACTTCCGAGTTATGTTGAAACTACAGTTTACACCCTACACTGAAACGTAAGCAAAACGTACAATCGAGAAACGTAACGTGACGACGATTAGTAAACTGTAAAAAATTTGAGACCCGTAACAAAATAAAACCTATGAATATCATTTTAATTATTGTTATTGTATACAATTGTGTTTTTTATTTACACATCTCGTCTTGTTTAGAGAACTATACTATTTAAAAAAGCTTTGTTGCGTTGTAATAAGTATTTTTTTAAGACGCAAATGTTGATTCACTCGAGTGTTTTTCAGTTGGAATAAAAATAACGTAAAATTATGTCACGTATTCTTGTAAAAGCCGGAAACGAATAAAGCTGTGTACTTATTCAAATTATACCCATTTAATTTGTCGGTTTATATCCATTTCAAAGCCATACTTTATTAGACGACATTATCTACCGCAGAACTTTAAATTAATTACACACTAACGCGTTATTGTACACAAAATATTGAACAGTCAAAAATGTGTGAGTAATTCAGTTTGGAATCGTAATCATCGTGGTACAACGTCGCATCTCAATAAAAATTTAAAAAAACATTGCATTGCGAAACATCCATACTTTTCCATAGTCGTAGCTCAATAAGTCGATGTGATGTTTTCAATTGATTTATACAAACGAAGTACAAGTTATTTATACAATATAGTCAAACGACGTAAACATTGACTAGGTTTCTTACAGAGAGGAATAAAATAAATTGTTATTGTTGTTTGTAAACACAAAAATCGACATTAACTGTAGTTGATTTGATCAGACCACACTGGAAAATGTACTTGAAAAACGCATGGAAAATGTTTTCGGACAAAATCATCGCCCGTATAAGATGTACTCTTTTCTGAACATCATTATGAATAAAGAGAAAACAATGACAGAAAAAATTCGGCGAAAATTTTATTTTGTACGGGTCAAGAAACTATTTGTATCAATGAACCATACAGTATATACTAAAATTATAATCGATTGAAAAATAAGTATGGAAAATAATACTCAAGTTATTAATATTTTATAAATATTAATGGTTTCGTTTTTGAATTGGTCATATATTATCAAATTATTAATATCAAGTAAAGATATTTCAAATACGTGCGTCACATATTAGTTACACAAATCATGAACTACCTTGTCAGTGTCCCACGACAGATCATTTTATTATGATATTGCCGCAAAACTAGATCCTCGACAACAATATAAAAATGTATAGAAAATAAGTACATTAAGTTATCGAAAATACAAATGTAGCAAAAGAACTTGGACCCGAAAACGATATATCACAACGTCGTGTTTTTTCAGGGAGAAATATGTCCAACACAAATGTTACACAGCTGTTACCGACCCAATTTTAAAAAAGAAAATAATATTTCGTGTTTTCCAGACGTATAGACAAGTCCGATTATATAATATTTGTATTTCACTATTTCGATGGTAACATTAACAGTGCCGTTGTGATAATAACAATGTGCTATAAAAGAACCGAAGAATTTTTCTTCGGCTGTTTTATCCGAATCGAAGCAAAGTGTATATATTTTAAAGCAAATTAGATTAATTGATAAAAACAAATGGTGTCAGTGCGCAAGAATTTTATTCGAACCAATAAACAAGTCAACGAAACCATTCGATAAAAAAACAATAACCACGAAAACAATAAAATATAAGGTCAATTAACGTCCGTTCTTTATGAACGCCAGTGACCATTTACATAGACTGTGTTACGGTTATGACCCTCGGACAGGGCACATCACAGTGATCTCTAATATTTTTCACCATAAAATATTGTTTATTAAGGGCTAATGGTCTGACGCGCCGAGCGTAATGACATTTTCCTGGTATGCCCCGGGGGAGGTGCAAAAATATTCCATTCACAATCCTAATACCGACCCTAACTGCCATCTCTGTATAACTACTATCTTTGGTACAAGAGAAATGCTCTACGTCGATTTTAATTAAAGCCGTTGCCTTCACTTCAGAGCATCTGGTAAAACCAATACGACTGGGAATTGATGTGCGCACAACTCGAATATTTCTGTCACCGAAATATTCTACTATTTCATTGTAAATACACTTTGGCCACTAGTACGTGGTCAGTTGCACACGTTGTATTCTAATAAATTATTACTAGTACGCTCAATGGCCTTTAATTACATAAGAGATTTTAAATTCTTCAAATCACTCTTGCATCTTATGTTTTACTTGTAAATTCACACAACCGTTTACAAACAGCGAGCGTTCTAAATCATTCAGCAAGTATTTAATGCAAATATTGTTTCGCGATCTAATTGTACGTATCGTATTATCTCTACACTGTGCCAAACAGTTTTTTATAGTAATTTGGCAGTTTTTAATTATTTGAAAACTCTAAAATAATACACGGGCCATTAACAATCCACTTTGTATTTACTAATTAATTTATATTGTTGTTAAAGTTTATTCGTTTTGGATAATAATCGATTAGTCCTGACGTCTAGTGAATTTCTTGTACGCGACTATGCTAAGAGAAGTCACTGAAATATTTTTAAATAATAAATTAATAATTCCGTAGAATATAATTGGTCTCGTTGATATGCATCTCGAGGGATTACCAAAATGTTTCACCGACTCGTGTCTGGCACATCACTATGCAGTGTGGTCTTTGATGTTCGGAATACATCCCTTTAATCACAAACACACTGGCAGTCCTTTTTGATTCGCAATATCCGACAGAGCGTGCGAAATGTTCGTTATACGGTTTGTTAGTGTTGCTCAACGGGTGGAATGGGTCGGCATATTAAACACTTGAGTTACGGTGAACGCACTGGTTAAATATACAGACAAAGTTGCGCTAAAAGTGCCAAGGTACGCATTCCGACCGTATTTGTTTTGCGTTTACGCAACGGGTCATCGGACGACACCAAATGAACAACCGAGAGATTTATTGCATAAATACATATTGTTATGTTAAAGGCATTCGACGGTGAACATCGATAGAAATTAGAGCCGCTGGGGTTGGGCCTGTGACGCGCAATTAGCTGAACTCGGTTCTAAAATGTTCAAGTCTAAATATTTGAAAAAAAAAAAAAAACTATTTTGGCTCCACCGCAAAGCGTTCAAATTAATTTTCAATTATTAGGCATTAAGTAGACAAACATAAAACACACGTGTTAATACGTCTGCACTTGGTATTCGTTTGCGATCGAATTTAGACAGCGTACAAATATCACACCCCTTTGTTTGAAATTACGTTTGTTGGCCCGTTCAGCGGAGAAGAGGAGTTATGTCATTAGTATTT